TCATTAAGACCTTTGGGAATAATGTTTGGAGGGTGAAAATCCCAAAACATTCTCTTTTGCTCAGAGTATTATTTATATCACCTCCCCTGTCTGATATCTTGACTTTCTCTATGCCACAAAATCTAAAACGTAGAAAGGTCATGTTTTTGGTCATTAAAATGTACTGCAACTGGATAATCCCTGTCGTTTCTTCTGATTTAACTTTTATGTTCACTAATTCTCTGTTTGAGAGAACGAGAGGTTTTACCTACATAGCACAGCGCACTACGATCCACTAAGAGAGATATCAACTCACTTACCACACACTGTGCAAGTACCCTCTCATTCAGCCAAGACGCCGCCAATAAGATCCTCTTCCCTACCTCCAACATGGACAACCTAGCTACACACTCTACTGGAGAACTTAAAATCCAACTCCAGAGACTCAGAGAGAAAGAGACTTGTTTGTCCCTGCATTATCTTAGTGCGCATTGGCAGAACAAGCGCATTCCAAGAGGACTGTGAATACAGGAAGAGCCTACAAACATGTGTCGAAGGATGTAAAAGAAGTTGAAGTTAAGATCAGTGAACATGAGGTTATAATGAAGGAGCTTCTAGGCCCAGACTTCACAGCCATAGACGACTCAATAAACCAGTCCATTGGGAAATACAGAGACTTCCTACAAGCAACAAAGATCAGGAAGTATCAGCGAGACAGAGGACTACCAGCTCAACCAGGTCTACGCATGGGAAGGCCCAAGGACGGGAGCACCGAGAGTTCGACGTAGGGACGCACCACTGACCGGGGGACGCAGATAAGCAGCAGCTGGGGGACACGGAAAAGCAGACAGAGGCATCCATTGAGAGCGAATTCCCTACAGACAGCGACTCCAGCTACCATCGTACACAGACTATTTTTTTTGCCCAAAAGCAGTACAACAAGGCTCCACGAAAGAAAATAAACAATGTAGGAGAGGCAAGCGGTCAAAAAAGGGACCAGGAACACAGGCCGTGGTAATTAACCTCTCCAAAAAAGAGCTCACTGATGCACAAGTCTCAGTCTTATCTAAGGGCCTCTCTTTTGTACCTACGTGTACAGACAAACCATTTGATACGAAAGTAGATCTGTTTAAATTATTTCGCAAGATTAATCTTAAACATGTGTTTTCCCTAAACATTGTTTCTGGCCTAGAAACCCAACAAAGAACTGTTACCCATTTTAAGCCCAAAAGCAAATTCTGTCCTATGGTGAACAACTCCTCGATTTAATATCTATTGTAGGTTTGTCGAACAAGAAGCCATGTCTGTATATACGAGAAAAACATTGACCCCAATCTCAGATTCACTATTGAATGTGACACATTTAATCACATAGATAACATTGGTGGTGGAGCACGTAATAATGTCATTTATTTGGAACCGTTTGCCTCTATGTTGGTGGCAGAAATATTCACACTTCATCATAATTTACAGTGGGGAGAACAAGTATTTGATACACTGCCGATTTTGCAGGTTTTCCTACTTACAAAGCATGTAGAGGTCTGTAATTTTTATCATAGGTACACTTCAACTGTAAGAGACAGAAAATCACATTGTATGATTTTTAACTAATTAATTTGCATTTTATTGCATGACATAAGTATTTGATCACCTACCAACCAGTAAGAATTTCCGGCTCTCACAGACCTGTTAGTTTTTCTTTAAGAAGCCCTCCTGTTCTCCACTCATTACCTGTATTAACTGCACCTGTTTGAACTCGTTACCTGTATAAAAGACACCTGTCCACACACTCAATCAAACAGACTCCAACCTCTCCACAATGGCCAAGACCAGAGAGCTGTGTAAGGACATCAGGGATAAAATTGTAGACCTGCACAAGGCTGGGATGGGCTACAGGACAATAGGCAAGCAGCTTGGTGAGAAGGCAACAACTGTTGGCGCAATTATTAGAAAATGGAAGAAGTTCAAGATGACGGTCAATCACCCTCGGTCTGGGGCTCCATGCAAGATCTCACCTCGTGGGGCATCAATGATCATGAGGAAGGTGAGGGATCAGCCCAGAACTACACAGCAGGACCTGGTCAATGAACTGAAGAGAGCTGGGACCACAGTCTCAAAGAAAACCATTAGTAACACACTACGCCGTCATGGATTAAAATCCTGCAGTGCACGCAAGATCTCCCTGTTCAAGCCAGCGCATGTCCAGGCCCGTCTGAAGTTTGCCAATGACCATCTGGATGATCCAGAGGAGGAATGGGAGAAGGTCATGTGGTCTGATGAGACAAAAATAGAGATTTTTGGTCTAAACTCCACTCGCCGTGTTTGGAGGAAGAAGAAGGATGAGTACAACCCCAAGAACACCATCCCAACCGTGAAGCATGGAGGTGGAAACATCATTCTTTGGGGATGCTTTTCTGCAAAGGGGACAGGACGACTGCACCGTATTGAGGGGAGGATGGATGGGGCCATGTATCGCGAGATCTTGGCCAACAACCTCCTTCCCTCAGTAAGAGCATTGAAGATGGGTCGTGGCTGGGTCTTCCAGCATGACAACGACCCGAAACACACAGCCAGGGCAACTAAGGAGTGGCTCCGTAAGAAGCATCTCAAGGTCCTGGAGTGGCCTAGCCAGTCTCCAGACCTGAACCCAATAGAAAATCTTTGGAGTGAGCTGAAAGTCCTTATTGCCCAGCGACAGCCCCAAAACCTGAAGGATCTGGAGAAGGCCTTAATGGAGGAGTGGGCCAAAATCCCTGCTGCAGTGTGTGCAAACCTGGTCAAGACCTACAGGAAACGTATGATCTCTGTAATTGCAAACAAAGGTTTCTGTACCAAATATTAAGTTCTGCTTTTCTGATGTATCAAATACTTATGTCATGCAATAAATGCAAATGAATTACTTAAAAATCATACAATGTGATTTTCTGGTTTTTCCATCTCTCACAGTTGAAGAGTACCTATGATAAAAATTACAGACCTCTACATGCTTTGTAAGTAGGAAAACCTGAAAAATCGGCAGTGTATCAAATACTTGTTCTCCCCACTGTATAATGTGACCAAAATACAGTCCTCTGTTAATCCCGTTATTGGTGAGATCTTATTTATGAAGTCTATAGAGTCTTTCACATATGATGGCAATGCTTGCACATGAGATTTAATAAAAGAGTCTACAAAGTTTGACAATGGCTCAAGCATTCAGCCTATTCCTGCAACCACTGGTCTGCCTAGATAATTGCCTTGTTTTTTTTTAGGTTTATGTACTTTAGGCAAAATGTACAGGCATGGACGTATGGCACATTTGCAGCAAAGGTATTCATATTCAGGTTTTGAGATAAGGTTGTTTAATAGGGCTTGCTCCAGATTAGAGCTAATATCCCTTTGGAACACCTGTGTGGGATCAACACTCAGTTTTATATAGAAACGTTCATTACTGAGTTGTCTCAGAATCTCTTCTTTGTGTTTTTCATAGTCTAAAACGACCACAGCACCCCTCTTGTCTGCAGGTTTGATAACCAAAGATGAATCTTTCATTAGGGATAAAAGTGTCTGCTAAATGGCATATTATTATTATTATTATTAATTAAGTGACTGTCCTGGTGAGGTTCTTCTGAATATGGCTACAATAGGTATTAAATCGAGGAGTTGTTCACCATAGGACAGAATTTGCTTTTGGGCTTAAAATGGGTAACAGTTCTTTGTTGGGTTTCTAGGCCAGAAACAATGTTTAGGGAAAACACGTGTTTAAGTTTAATCTTGCGAAATAATTTAAACAGATCTACTTTCGTATCAAATGGTTTGTCTGTACACGTAGGTACAAAAGAGAGGCCCTTAGATAAGACTGAGACTTGTGCGTCAGTGAGCTCTTTTTTGGAGAGGTTAATTACCACGGCCTGTGTATTCCCAGTCATGTGAAATCCATATATTAGGGCCTAATGAATTTATTTCAATTGATTGATTTTCTTATATGAACTGTAACTCAGTAAAATCTCTGAAATTGTTGCATGTTGGTTTATATTTTTGTTCAGTATATATTGAGATGATAGGGTATGAGTCGGACCGCAGAGTGAAGGAAAAGCAGCCAATGAGCGCTCAGCATATGTGGGAACTCCTTCAAGACTGTTGGAAAAGCATTCCAGGTGAAGCTGGTTGAGAGAATGCCAAGAGTGTGCAAAGCTATCATCAAGGCAAAGGGTGGCTATTTGAAGAATCTCAAATATATTTTAATTTGTTTAACACTTTTTTGGTTACTAAATTATTCCATATGTGTTATTTCATAGTTTTAATGTCTTCACTATTATTCTACAATGTAGACAATAGTAAAAATAAATAAAAAACCTTGAATGAGTAGGTGTTCTAAAACTTTTGACCGGTAGCTTATATATAGATAGAATAATAATGGGGGATTGGAAAGACAATTACATTGATGGAAGCCACACTACCTGCGATATTAAAGCTGATCTACCTCATAAAAAAAATATTTTAAAAAGTCTGTTGTTGTTAGCCACACCAGACCACTAGGTGGCGGTGGACGTCCGGAGTTGGTAAAAAGTCTGTTGTTGTTAGCCACACCAGACCACTAGGTGGCGGTGGACGTCCGGAGTTGGTAAAAAGTCTGTTGTTGTTAGCCACACCAGACCACTAGGTGGCGGTGGACGTCCGGAGTTGGTAAAAAGTCTGTTGTTGTTAGCCACATTAGACCGCTAGGTGGCGGTGGATGTCAGGAGTTGGCTCCCTGTTTTCACACACTGACATCAAGTGGATTAAACTGACATGAAATTACATGGCCAAGTCTCGATAACAAAACATCTTCAAGATAAAGGCTTGCAAATTATATTTCGGCTTGTCCTTGCCAGGATAACTAGGTAATGAAGTTCTAGTGTTCCACTCAAGTCTGTTGGTAGTGGAACATACTATGTGACTGACTGGCCGACTGACTGACTGGCCGACTGACTGACTGGCCGACTGTCTGTCTGGCCGACTCTCTGCCTGCCTGTCTGTCCATCCTTCAGTCCGTGGTCCACCTACCTGGTGGTGAGGAACTCAATCAGTTTGTTGGTCTTCTCCTCCGCGTCCTGGGAGGAGATGTGGGGCAGGTTGGAGGTGCTGCCTCCCAGGCTGAGGCTGGAAGAGGTGGACGAAGAGCCAGAGTCGGGTACAGGGGATGCCTGGCCCTTTCGCAGGAAGTCCACCCCACCTGGGAGGGAGAGAGAGAGAGAAGCAGAGGAGAGGGAGAGGGAGAGGGAAGGAGAGAGAGAGGGAGAGGGAGAGGAGAGGGAAGGAGAGAGAGAGGGAGAGGGAGAGGAGAGGGAAGGAGAGAGAGAAAGGGAGAAGGAGAGAGAGAAAGGGAGAAGGAGAGAGAGAAAGGGAAAAGGAGAGAGAGAGAGAACGGGAGAAGGAGAGGAGTCACAACAGGGACAGTTTAGAAGGCACAAAACAGGAAGAAACGTTTTGAAACAGGAGGTGCATCCTGAACTTGTCCATTTCAAAACCGTGTTTACTGAACAGCACCCAGATAACAGAGGTACATTTGGTGGTTTCACTTTATATCTTGACTACTCCTGTTGTGAGTCCAATGTAGCGAGATGTGAGGTGAACTCTATGCTCTGTTTTTCTATATTACAACTACTGAATTTAAGATACCAGCTTGTCGCTAGTCAGGTCAAGTGAAGTTTTCTTTATCGCTTCAAGCAAAACAAATTAAAGTGGGGAAAGAACCTATCCTTGCAGCGTGTCTAACCCTGCCTTGGTAGATGGCCCCTTTTTGGGCAAGAGGATATAAATAGCGTAATGGAATGCTTTAATCAGGACTTTTGATGTCGTCTGCTGCAGGACATAGGATTGTTGCTGGCCAGGCTACCATGTTTTCTTTCCCCCACAAAGCTCTCCCTTGAAAGTGTAAGCCATTCCCTGCTGATAACTGTACCAAGATTAACCATGGAGAGGAGCAATGTGTCCAGTGCTACACTCTCTCCCATAGACCCTGTAGAACAACATGGCTGTCTAAGATGGCCATTTTATATTCATTTGATTGATAAACTGAAAATGCCTTTCTTAATTTTTTTTACTGAACAAAAATATAACATGCAACAATTTCTATGATTTTACAGAGTTACAGTTCATATAAGGAAATAGCTCAATGGAAATGAATTCATTAGGCCCTAATCTATGGATTTCACATGACTGGGAATACAGATATGCTTCTGTTGGTCACATATACCTTAAAAAAAAAAGTAGGGGCGTGGATCAGAAAACCAGTCAGTGACCACCATTTGCCTCATGCAGCGCAACTTCTCCTTCACATTGAGTTGATCAGGCTGTTGATTGTGGCCTGTGGAATGTTGTCCATTCCTCTTCAATGGCAGTGCGAAGTTGCTGGATATTGGCGGGAAAATGCAATTGCCATCGATAAAATGCAACCCCCCCGCCACCATGGGGCACTCTGTTCACAATGTTGACATCAGCAAACCGCTCGCTCCACACAACGCCATACGACCTGGATTCATCCGTGAAGAGCACACTTCTCCAGCGTGCCAGTGACCATCGAAGGTGAGCATTTTCCCACTGAAGTCGGTTATGACGCCGAACTACAGTCAGGTCAAGACTCTGGTGAGGACAACGAGCATGCAGATGAGCTTCCCTGAGACGGTTTCTGACAGTTTGTGCAGAAAGTCTTCTGTTGTGCAAACCCACAGTTTCATCAGCTGTCCGGGTGGCTGGTCTCAGACGATCCCGCAGGTGAAGAAGCAGGGCTGGCATGGTTACATGTGGTCTGCGGTTGTGAGACCGGTTGGACATACTGCCAAATTCTATAAAACAATGTTGGAGGCGGCTCATGGTAGAGAAATGAACATTCAATTCTTTGGCAACAGCTCTGGTGGACATTCCTGCAGTCAGCATGCCAATTGCATGCATGTCAATTGCACGGTCCCTCAAAACTGGAGACATCTGTAGCATTGTGTTGTGTGACAAAACTGCACATTTTAGAGTGGCCCTTTATTGTCCCCAGCACAAGGTACACCTGTGTAATGATCATGCTGTTTAATTAGCTTCTTGATATGTCACACCTTTCAGGTGGATAGATTATCTTGGCAAAGGAGAAATGCTCACTAACAGGGATGTAAACACATTTGTGCACATTTTAGAGAAATAATATTTTTGTGCATATGGAACATTTCTGGGATCTTTTATTTCAGCTCATGAAACATGGGACCACCACTTTACATGGTGCATTTATATAGTTTTAAAACAACAACTCCGACTTGGACCACACAAGTTACGATAATGATTAAGACAAAAGGTTTTTTGTTTTTTATCTGTTGCATGCCCTAGTGAACACTGCCCAGGAGTCAATACTGTACTGTGTAATACCTGTAGTAGTGAAGTATTCAGGCAGGTAGCCTGACTCGCTGGTCAAGGTTTTGTTGCCATTGACCTCTTGTGTCTGCAGCAGGACGGAGGCGATGGTCTGGAAGTTGCCATTGCAGGACAGAGTAATGAGCAGGTGCAGGAGGAGACGCTTGCTGTGCTCAAACACCTCAGGACGGCAGTGATCCATGCCTGGTGGTGAAACAAATACATCATAATACAGTGACAGCAGATACAGTGACATCATAATACAGTGACAGCAGATACTGTGACATCATAATACAGTGACAGCAGATACAGTGACATCATAATACAGAGACAGCAGATACAGTGGGGTCCAACATTTTTGACAGCCTTGATAAAGATGAGCAATAATTACTGAATAAAATAAATAATTCAAATGCTGAGCTATGTTGTATGCTCAAAGAAATTGGGAAATTATTTTGTACTAATACAATTGCTGAGAGAAAGAGAGTTATTGACACCCCTAAAGATTCGTATAAATAAAGTAGTCAAAAGTTTTGTATTTGGTCCCATATTCCAAGCATGCAATTACCATATCAAGATTGTGACTCTACAAACTCATTGGATGCATTTGCAGTTCGTTTTAGTTGTGTTTCAGATTTGTAATTTGTCCCCAATAGAATGAATGGTAAATAATGTATTCTGTCATTTTGGAGTACCTTTTATTATATACAGTTGAAGTTGGAAGTTTACATACACTTACAGTAGGTTGGAGTCATTAAAACTCCTTTTTCAACCACTCCACAAATGTCTTGTTAACAAACTATAGTTTTGGCAAGTCGGTTAGGACATCTACTTTGTGCATGACACAAGTAATATTTCCAACAATTGTTTACAGACAGATTATTTCACTTATAATTCACTTTATCACAATTCCAGTGGGTCAGAAGTTTACATACACTAAGTTGACTGTGCCTTTAAACAGCTTGGAAAATTCCAGAAAATGATGTAATGGCTTTAGAAGCTTCTGATAGGCTAATTGACATCATTTCAGTCAATTGGAGATGTACCTGAGGATGTATTTCAAGGCCTACCTTCAAACTCAGTGCCTCTTTGCTTGACATCATGGGAAAATCAAAAGAAATCAGCCAAGACCTCAGAAACAAAATTGTAGACCTCCACAAGTCTGGTTCATCCTTGGGAGCAATTTCCAAACGCCTGAAGGTACCACGTTCATCTGTACAAACAATATTACGCAAGTATAAACACCATGGGACCACGCAGCCGTCATACCGCTCAGGAAGGAGACGCGTTCTGTCTCCTAGAGATGAATGTACTTTGGTGCGAAAAGTGCAAATCAATCCCAGAACAACAGCAAAGGACCTTGTGAAGATGATGGAGGAAACAGGTACAAAATTATCTATATCCTTTGCTCCAAAACCGCCATAAAAAAGCCAGACTACGGTTTACAACTGCACATGGGACAAAGATCGTACTTTTTGGAGAAATGTCCTCTGGTCTGATGAAACAAAAATAGAACTGTTTGGCCATAATGACCATCGTTATGTTTGGAGGAAAAAGGGGGTCGCTTGCAAGCCGAAGAACACCAACCCAACCGTGAAGCACGGGGGTGGCAGCATCATGCTGTGGGGGTGCTCTGCTGCAGGAGGGACTGGTGCACTTCACAAAATAGATGGCATCACGAGGAAGGAAAATTATGTGGATATATTGAATTAACATCTCAAGACATCAGTCAGGAAGTTAAAGCTTGGTCGCAAATGGGTCTTCCAAATGAACAATGACCCCAAGCATACTTCCAAAGTTGTGGCAAAATGGCTTAAGGACAACAAAGTCAAGGTATTGGAGTGGCCATCACAAAGCCCTGACCTCAATCCTATAGAACATTTGTGGGCAGAACTGAAAAAGTGTGTGCGAGCAAGGAGGCCTACAAACCTGATTCAGTTACACCAGCTCTGTCAGGAGGAATGGGCCAAAATTCACCCGACTTATTGTGGAATGCTTGTGGAAGGCTACCCGAAACATTTGACCCAAATTAAACAATTTAAAGGCAATGCTACCAAATACTAATTGAGTGTATGTAAACTTCTGACCCACTGGGAATGTTATGAAAGAAATAAAAGCTGAAATAAATCTTTCTCTCTACTATTATTCTGACATTTCACATTCTTAAAATAAAGTGGTGATCCTAACTGACCTAAGACAGGGACTTTTTACTAGGATTAAATGTCAGGAATTGTGAAAAACTGAGTTTAAATGTATTTCGCTAAGAAGTATGTAAACTTCCGACTTCAACTGTACAATGTAAGAATAGAATATGTTTCTGAACACTTCTACATTCATGTGGATGCTACCTGAACGAATCGTGGATAATGATTTCATTTAAATTTTTTAAATCTTTAGTCATATAGCAGACGCTCTTATCCAGAGCGACTTACAGTTAGTGAGTGCTTTTTCTTTTTCATACTGGTCTCCCGTGGGAATCGAACCCACAACCCTGGCGTTGCAAACACCATGCTCTACCAACTGAGCTACACGGGACATTACTGATGAGTGAGAAAGTTACAGAGGGTCAAAGACCATACCCCCAAGACATGCTAACCTCTTCACCAATAACATGGGAGGTTAGGATGTCTTGGGGTATGATCTTTGACCCTCTGTAACTTTCTCACTCATCATTATTCACGATTCATTCAGAATTATCCGTAATCATAGTAGCATCCACAATAATGTACAAGTGTTTAGAAACATATTATATTCTTGTTTACAATAAAAGCGACTCTAAAATGACACAATACATAATTGACTATTCATTCCTATTGGGGTACCAAATAATCTGTAACAAAACGAGCAGCAAATGCATCCAACAAGTTCGTAGCGTCACAAGCTTGATGTAATCATTGCATGCTAGGATATGGGACCAAATACTACACTTTTGACTGCTTTATTTATAACAATCTTTAGGGGTGGTAATCATTTTGACCCCTACCTTTTTATTTGTTAAATTTTTTTTATTTCTCTGAGCAATGGTATTAGTATAAAATAATATAATTTCCCACATTTTGGGAGCATACAATATAGCTCAGTATGAATTATTTATTTTATACAGTCATTATTGTTAATCTTTATCAAGGGTGTCAATAATAACATCCTTACATACAGTGTCTCTACTGGTGTAATAACTGATACTACACAGGGTTGGGGTTAATATTATTGCTCCCTATGGTCTCCAGCTGTAAAAGAGGCAAAACGATTGGCAGCAATTGCCAGCTACTTCCTGGCGTGTCCAAGTTGGAGCGAGTTCAGAATCAGTTAACTCAGTAATTCCTCATTGAAAAGTATGCGCTGGTGTGTGTCATACCCAGAAAGAGGGCGTGGAGCAGCAGTGGCAGGTGCAGGGCCCAGTCTTCTCTCACACTGTGGTCAACCACCATCTCGGTCATGAAGATCACTGCGATGTTACACCTACAGACACATCAACAATATACATATTGTATATACATCAACTACTATGTTACACCAACATACTGCATACAACAGCACATCAAATATACTCTATACATTGTCTCCATCCCAAATGTTACCCTATTCCCTACATAGTATAGTGCACAAAAGTAGTGCCCTAAATAGGGAATAGGGTTCCATTTGAGACGCATCTATGGCCTCTCTCTCTCCCTCTGTTTTCAATGCTCAGGGATGCAATGGAATATATATTATGACTGCTTGGGGTTTATCACTGGGAAATGAGGAGGACATTGTATCAGAACTTATTTTGTCAAACGATAAAGCTCATCCACCCTGTTTAAACCTATGTGCTGGGTCATGTTCTTTCCCTCTGCTACCATGAAGGATGACATCATCTTAGATAATGGTTTTGATAAGAGTTACAGGGACCAGGTGTGAGAGACAGGGTAGCGTAGGTCTGACCTCTAACAATAGCCCTCTGCAGATGTCCTACATACAGTTGAAGTTGGAAGTTTACATACACATTAGCCAAATATATTTAAACTCAGTTTTTCACAAATGTGAAATGTCAGAATAATAGTAGAGAGAATGATTTATTTCAGCTTTTATTTCTTTCATCACATTCCCAGTGGGTCAGAAGTTTACATACACTCAATTAGTATTTGGTAGCATTGCCTTTAAATTGTTTAACTTGGGTCAAACGTTTCAGGTAGCCTTCCACAAGCTTTCCACAAGAAGTCGGGTGAATTTTGGCCCATTCCTCCTGACAGAGCTGGTGTAACTGAGTCAGGTTTGTAGGCCTCCTTGCTCGCACACACTTTTTCAGTTCTGCCCACAAATGTTCTATAGGATTGAGGTCAGGGCTTTGTGATGGCCACTCCAATACCTTGACTTTGTTGTCCTTAAGCCATTTTGCCACAACTTTGGAAGTATGCTTGGGGTCATTGTTCATTTGGAAGACCCATTTGCGACAAAGCTTTAACTTCCTGACTGATCTGTTGAGATGTTGCTTCAATATATCCACATCATTTTTCTTCCTCATGATGCCATCTATTTTGTGAAGTGCACCAGTCCCTCCTGCAGCAAAGCACCCCCACAGCATGATGCTGCCAACCCCGTTCTTCACGGTTGGGTTGGTGTTCTTCGGCTTGCAAGCGACCCCCTTTTTCCTCCAAACATAATGATGGTCATTATGGCCAAACAGTTCTATTTTTGTTTCATCAGACCAGAGGACATTTCTCCAAAAAGTACGATCTTTGTCCCCATGTGCAGTTGCAAACCGTAGTCTGGCTTTTTTATGGCGGTTTTGGAGCAGTGGCTTCTTCCTTGCTGAGCGGCCTTTCAGGTTATGTCGATATAGGACACGTTTTACTGTGGATATAGATACTTTTGTACCTGTTTCCTCCAGCATCTTTACAAGGTCCTTTGCTGTTGTTCTGGGATTGATTTGCACTTTTCGCACCAAAGTACGTTCATCTCTAGGAGACAGAACGCGTCTCCTTCCTGAGCGGTATGACAGCTGCGTGGTCCCATGGTGTTTATACTTACGTACTATTGTTTGTACAGATGAACGTGGTACCTTCAGGCGTTTGGAAATTGCTCCCAAGAATGAACCAGACTAGTGGAGGTCTACAATTTTGTTTCTGAGGTCTTGGCTGATTTCTTTTGATTTTCCCATGATGTCAATCAAAGAGGCACTGAGTTTAAAGGTAGGCCTTGAGGTACACCTCCAATTGACTCAAATGATGTCAATTAGCCTATCAGAAGCTTCTAAAGCCATGACATCATTTTCTGGAATTTTCCAAGCTGTTTAAAGGCACAGTCAACTTAGTGTATGTAAACTTCTGACCCACTGGAATTGTGATACAGTGAATTATAAGTGAAATGATCTGTCTGTAAACAATTACTGGTGTCACGCACAAAGTAGATGTCCTAACCGACTTGCCAAAACTATAGTTTGTTAACAAGAAATTTGTGGAGTGGTTGAAAAACGAGTTTTAATGACTCCAACCTAAGTGTATGTAAACTTCCGACTTCAATTGTATCTCACATGCATCACACACACTGCTTGGTATTTCATACACAAATGGTGTGTGTGCGCCTGTGTGTGTTAACCTGTGTGTACCTGTGTAGAGGTATGGTTGATGGTTCCTGTTAGGTAGTCCACCAGGAAACGTGTGTGTGTGTGTACCTGTGTAGAGGTCCCCTAGGAGTGATGGTTTCAGGGAGGTAGTCCACCAGGAAACGTGTGTGTGTGTACCTGTGTAGAGGTCCCCTAGGAGTGATGGTTCCTGTTAGGTAGTCCACCAGGAAACGTGTGTATGTGTGTACCTGTGTAGAGGTCCCCTAGGAGTGATGGTTTCAGGGAGGTAGTCCACCAGGAAACGTGTGTGTGTGTACCTGTGTAGAGGTCCCCTAGGAGTGATGGTTTCAGAGAGGTAGTCCACCAGGAAACATGTGTGTGTGTGTACCTGTGTAGAGGTCCCCTAGGAGTGATGGTTTCAGGGAGGTAGTCCACCAGGAAACATGTGTGTGTGTGTACCTGTGTAGAGGTCCCCTAGGAGTGATGGTTTCAGGGAGGTAGTCCACCAGGGGAGCCCAGCAGCCTCCGTTGACAGGCATGGGCAAAGGGAGTGGCTGATTGGTCTCCACAACGCTCATCAACCAACCAGTGTACGGTGGAAGGGGTTCACCTAGGGGTCACACAGGAAGTTAAACTCATGACAAAGCACGGCAGCACTCGCCAGGCCAGACCCTCTCCAGGGTCGTGTTCAGTGGGGCACACTTGGGCAAAACGTTTTCCAACGGAAAACGAAAACCAATGTTTCTCATTGGACACTGACCCAGGCTACCTCTGTTCCAGAGAGTAGAACCAATGAGTAGAACAAATGAGTTTTGGGATCACTGGCTGTTTACTGGTAGTATCTGAGAGGCCCTGTCACGGAGCTGCTTGTGTGTTTCACTTCCAGTTCTTACAAAGGATCTTCTCAGCGCTCCAGGCCTATCATGCATTATCAATGGCACTGACCTAGGCAGCCATCTTACCCCTTAGATGTAAAGTCTAGGGGACCTGCATGGTTCTGGTACCGGTTCCGACCGATATTTCCACGTATAGATTGACCTGTGGACACCGTAGATCGAAATGGCTTGCATTGAGAGATAACCCTGGTTCCCACGGACACAGTAGTATATTTTCTGAGCCTGTGTGACGTAGGATGTGAAATCTGAAACCACTTGAAGTTGGGATGTCCCTCCTACCATTTCATTCGCTCTTCCGACTGTCCATCAACTCCTGGCTGAATCCTATGTCACATCCACTGACAAAGCACATGCCTGCAATCCTTACATCGTAGCGCAGCAGGAGAGTTTCATCACTGTAGCACATTCAGAGATTGAGCTATAGCCATTCATCTTAAATAATTCCTAGATTTTAAACAAAAAACGTTCTGTTTGTTATAGATGGGCAAGATTAATATGAGATGAAAGGCAAATTCCAAGCTAGGAAGCCAAGCTAGAGCTCTGTGAGATGTTCACAGCGATGGAGGCAGACGTTTTGATCAAGAGAGCCCTTTAGAAAATCTGCACATTTTCTCTAACACAAAACATTCAAATTCAGTATGTATTTTACAGTTATAAGGAAGGTGAAATCTTATAGTTAGTTGTTTTATAATTTGATTATACTATATTTAGAAAGCATATAAGTCATTTCAAGCCTTATTCATACAGTTTTGTTGAATAGGAAATACATCATACAAAATAGTTCATATTTTCATCATGTTTGTACTGTGTACTTGAGCTTGTGTCCTCAAAAGTGACTACACTTTGGCAATTTATAACCATTTTTACCAGAAAGGTAAGATTTTAACAGCATTACTAGTTATTGTTTATGGCCATCTCATGATAAATCATTTATTTTGAGGATTACGTAGATTACATTTTTGATTAAATGTAGTTACATTGTAACATATGGTCTGTTCCCCAGGCTAGCAGCAGTCAAACTATGTACCATATGGTCTGGTTCCCAGACTAGCAGCAGCCAAGCTATGTACCATATGGTCTGGTTCCCAGGCTAGCAGCAGCCAAGCTATGTAACATATGGTCTGTTTCCCAGGCTAGCAGCACCCCCCACTTTAAGCAGGTGAATAAGGCACTATATTCACACACTGTACATAGAGTATATCTATAATCTCTTTACTCACTCTTCTCCTCGTCGTAGGAGCCTCCAGAACTGTTGCTGTATCGGGACTCCAGGCGGTTGTGGTTACGCATTATGTTACTCAGCCTGGATCACAAAGGTCAGAGGTCAGAGGTTGTCGCCAAGACTACTGCCACAGATTATCTATTATATTGACAAGATAGTCGAGTGACCGCTCTAACAATGGAAATACATGTCCTCAAAGATGGAAGGCAGGTGGGAGGAGGCGAGATCAGGTGGGACCATTCTAGCCAATGAAAGGGCAGATACGCGTGTCAACAACAGGCAAAACTTTGATATAAAGTCGTTTTTTTCAAAGTTGCCGAAATGCCATCCAAACCATTAGGAAATGTATATTTGATCAAATAAGCCTTACATAGCAAATTAGCAATTACATTTTTTGTTGACCAAATTCAACACTCATTGTACCTCTATATAAACATTCCTCACGTCGTGGTCTTATTTTCATGGACAGATTTTGGGCGGAGTAAACCCCCTCGCTTCGCCTCTTCCTCTCTGCTACTGCTGATCTTATATTACATCACATTTCACCTAACCTGGTCCCAGATGTGACAATGAAGGAGTTGACATGATAACACAAACAGATCTGGTCCCAGATCCCTTTGTGCTGTTTAGTCAACTTCCATGGTTGTTGACATACCAAACGACCTATAGGAGTTGGCAAAACAGCAGAAAGAAATGTGAGACCAAGCCCCAGTCCAAGTACTCTACTGTGATACTATACCTCTCTTCATTCTCCTTGGCTGCTTTAGTGTCATCTGCGTCAGGGAAACTCTCTTGGCCAGCAACTATAGTGTTGCTACTGGATGTTGTACCTAAAAAAGTAACAGACATAATTAAGTGTTTATAGACACAAATAATTCAAACATACATATTGTGAAAGTTTTGAAAAATGTCAAACTTGTGATAAAAAATCTGATCTGGTTACCTTCCTGTGTGTAACATTATGTTACTACCAAAGGTGCCAGTGGAGGTTTATATGTCCAGTCTGACTGTTGGTGTGTTCGTTCGTGTGTGTGGTAGTGTGTTCGTTCATGTTCGTGTTTGTGTGTTCGTATGTCTGTGTGCGTTTCTGTACCTATACCTGAGGCGGCGGTGGAGGCCGTGCAGGTGGCAGCAAAGCGGTAGAAAGGTGGGTTGTCACAGTGCTGTACCACAGGGTTGACCGGGTCTGTCTGCTGCAGCTCAAACAACAGCTCCTCCATGGTCTGAATGGTGTTGTTACGACACAGGTAGATCACCACCTTCTTGATCTGGAAAACACACGGAAGTAGGAACACACGCATACACGCGTGCACACACACACACACACACACACACACACACACACACACACAAACCAAGGGTTAGGATTAGAGATAGGATTCGTTTTCTGTATGGTTCTAAGGCAGCGGGATTCAAGTTATTTCTCTGTAGGGTTCTAAGGTATCAGGATTCGTTTTCTCTGTATTGTTCTAAGGCTGCGGGGTTGAGCTTAATTATCTTTTTGTATATTCTTGGTGGTTTTACTTACAATTTATTCAGACAGTAATGGAATTAGAGGGGTTCTAATGCAGCAGACTCACATAAGGCAGCAGAGAAGTGTCGCTGCTCACTCCACACAGACTGACGAGGAACTGCAGGGTGGTCCTCAGATTGTTGGGCCACGTGTCATTACTGACCAGAGCGTTCCAGACATTCTCCATCTCTGGTCCTGGGACGTCATCACCGTACTGACAGGACAAGGCAGAGCATCAGCGATTAGTAATATTAACAATAGAATGACAACTTTCACTGAGCAAAACATATATGTGGTCATATTTGTATTGTAAGTGCTAATGTGCTAAGTGTTATTTCTCCCATGTTTCCTGTATGTTGTCTGCCTTTCAACGAGCAATGTACAGACCCTCCTCACCTTGGCGGTCATGAACATGAGGTTGTTGAGGACCAGCGAGGTGGCCTGCAGCGAGCCCCAGCCCAGTCCTCTTAGGGTGTGTTGGGGGACCTGTCCCACGGTGGTGCCTGTCCGGCCCGGGGTCTCCTCCTCAGGGCTGCAGGGACTGGAGACTGGTGGCAGCAGGCAGCTGTCCATCAACTCGATGTTAGAGAGCCAGGGCAGCAGGTAGGTCAGCATGATCTGACGGCCATTTGGATGGGTCGTAGGGAAACGCTGGCTAACCTCTGGGACAGGAGAGAGAAACACAACCGAGCAGAAACCGTAAGTTTATGAATTTATACAAAGTCATAAATAATTGTTACAAAGTCAGTCCCTCCAGGATTTCGCTGCATTTGTTTGTGGTATTTGTAGATACAAATACTTGATTTTGGTGTGGCAATTATGACATTTTGCATGATGAAAATGCAGTGATGGGGGAAACATTTGTTGATGTGTGGCTTGATTTAACAATGTTATGTGGTAAAAGTGATTGATTTGTAAAAGTGGTGATTGGTTAAAATGGAGAGCCCTTTTTTGCAGTGCGTGATCGGACAGTTTTATGCGGTAATATTGCGGTGATTTGACTGTTACATATGGTAATAGTGCAGTGAATGGTCAAATTTGCAAGACCTCGCTTCACATACGGGAAATTATAGATTTTGCTAAAAAAAATGTTTTTGCAGAATTGCTCAATCCTGGAGGGCCTATACAGTTGTCCTCTGCAGAGGTGGGGGTAGTAGCATTTTAAAAACAAACAGGCTCATTATGTCATATGTGCTGATCTAGAATCAGTTTTGCCCTTTAGATCATAATTAATCATATTATTATGGACAGGGAGGACCTGATCCTAAATCAGCACTCCTACTCCGAAACGCTTGATAAATACAGGCCCTGTTGCTTAAAAGGGTTTAAAGCTAATATACATTTTATAGTTGAATAACAATGAGGTAAAGACCTGTGCACAGCAGTGCACCTTCTACAAGGTGCTGGTAATGGCAGGAAGACGGAGAGACACAGTTGAAAAACGGCACAGTTGAGGAAACGACTGCCGATCAATACTTATTTTATTGAATCAACGTCGTCGATCCTCGTCGTTGTCTGTTTTCACCCGTGTTTTTGATAACTGAATACTGAGTCTCCATCATTTGATAATAACTGATGATCTGTGTATTTATTTGGTCCACTTTATACTGACAAAATCCTTCTGACTCACAACCCACTTCACTGTTGCTATGGCAAAGAGCAGTGGGAGCTTCTATAGCTAACTGACAACGAGCCTTTTTGAGTGGGAGGAGCCATCCTAACACAAGAACAACACATTTAGCAGGAAGCCAAATGAAGATGACCTGCTTGTGAGTACTATGTGAGTACCATACAGACACACACACACACACACACACACACAGACACAGCTTACCTGAGAAGAGAGGCAGAGTGAGTTCAGGGTATATCCTAGCCAGTTGCTGTGAGAGCTGGGCTAGAGAGACGCTATAGAGGGGAGGCAGAGGTCCATGGGTCCTACACAGGATGCTACTGGGCTTCTGGTCTGCTATCCTCTTGGAACACACGGACAGCTTTGCCTCCAGAATCTGGTTATCAAGGAAGAAAACACACACACTCTTAGTCCAGGATATTATCAGTCAGGTTTGGGGTCAATTCTAATTCAATTCACAGGTTGATGTTTATTGGGATAAGTCTTGTCCTTGAGGCAGAACTGAGCGATTACCGCTAGATGGGCCAGCTGCAAAGTAAAAATTGTCTATATTGTAAAAATGTATGATAACAAAAATTTGCTTTTTGGTCTTAATTTAAGGTTTGGGTTAGGCATTAGGGTTAGCAGTGTGGTTAGGGTTAAGGTTAGGTTAAATTTAATGACTTTGGCTGTGCCAGCTAGTGACCACTCTGCAACGCTGCCTCCAGAACAAGATTCATGACAAAAAAACTTTAACCTGCATTAATTTCAGTCAATACGGGAAGTAAACTGAAAAAACCCTGTTATCAGTGTTTCAATGGAAGGATGTCATGCATTACATTGGTCAGTAAAACTTTATTTGGATAGTCATCTATGTACATGCTACTGATTGAGTCTATTGGTTTGTTGAGCATCTATAGACTCTGTGGTATTGGTCCTTACCTGCATTAGCTGCATTGAGATTTCATAAATTTCCCTGCTGGTATCTGATGTCTTGAAGAGCACCAAATTCATCAAAGTCACGATGTCACAGGGGTAGTTTCTGCAAGTGAAATAATCAATATGAATATTTAATAAGACTTTACAGTACTTAATAAACCTTGTAGGTCTAAATCATTATGATGAAGTTATAATGCATCATAAGACATGTCATGGACAGGTATATCATAATGTCTTCAATCATCTCACAATGATCCTGACAAAAAAGTCAGTTGAAATAACATAGACATAACCTATGTTAAGGTATAAATAAGGTGTCCACTCTGCCCAGTGGTGATATAATTGCACTTTTCCAAGACAAATATGATTATTCATGTTCTGAATCGTTCAGTGGGGTCTTCTCTAACATATCATTAACATTATATTCAAAAAATCGGATTTCGTAAGCGAATACATCCGATAATAAGCACCAAGCTCTGCTGACATAGCGGTTCAGGTTTCTCGTAACAACTTTTGAGGATTTTACATTTTGTGGTCGTCATCTTCAAAGTTGTTTCCACGGGTCGCAAAAAGCAAAATTAGCATGACACGAGCTGAATGAAATGTAAAAGACTGAAAATAAAAGGCTTGGTATACGCTCAGTGCTCCGTTGACAATTCACAGAGATAAGCTTTTTTTGGTGAGAAATCTTAGAAAAAGAACAGGAATTTCGAATGAATATGAAAAGTGTATACTAAAATATGATACTGTCAAAATCAATATCCATCTTACCTCTATATTGTTTTTTTGTCCTGCGGATTTCGAGAAGAAAGATTACGAATTCAACAGGAAAGTAGCCTGTCAGGTAGCCAGCTATGTATATTTTGAACCTAGGTAGCCAGCTATGTATATTTTGAACCTAGGTAGCCAGCTATGTATATTTTGAACCTAGGTAGCCAGCTATGTATATTTTGAACCTAGGTAGCCAGTAGCCTTAATTCTTGCACAGAATCAAGCCTAGCTGACGTGATGCAATTTTCCAGATTTTTGACCACTTTTTTTCCTCTGGCCTCCGTTGATTTAGTCAACCTAATTCTGGCCATCAAGGGTAAAAACTTCAATAACTTTTGAACGGATTATGATAGAGACTTGAGGTTTGGACCATTGGTTTTCTTAGAGGATTATCTACATATTATTTTATTAACATATTATTTTACCCATTGGTCAAAATTTGAGTTTTTGATCGGACCCCTAGTATAAAGCATTATACCAGCAGGTTGAAGTATTACAGAATATTTAACCAAATAGTGATGCTTCAGTTCAGTATTTGTAGTGTAACGTTGAGTTATGTTACAGAGAGGTGCATTAGATCAGTTCCTACTCATGATGTATATGGTAGAGAGGTTCCTACCAATGATGTCTATGGTAGAGCAGTTCCTACCAATTATGTCTATTTTATTTATTTATTTTTTATTTTATTTTACCTTTATTTAACTAGGCAAGTCAGTGAAGAACAAATTCTTATTTACAATGACGGCCTACACCGGCCAAACCCGGACGACACTGGGCCAATTGTGCGCCGCCCTATGGGACTCCTAATCACGGCCGGTTGTGATACAGCCTGGAATCGAACCAGGGGGTCTGTAGTGACGCCTCAAGCACTGAGATGCAGTGCCTTAGACCGCTGCGCCACTCGGGAGCCCTATGGTAGAGCGGTTACTATCAGTGATCTCTATGGTTCTTAACTTAGTTAGTACCTGCTGCCACGGAAGGTGACTGAGTAGTTCCTACTTGCTACCATTAATATCCTATGGTTATTAACTTTCTACTTGTGCCAGAGACGGTGGAATTAGAAGGGATCTTACCAGTGATGTCTGTAGTTCCTACCTGCTGCCACAGATGGTGGCGATGGCCTTGAAACAGCCAGAGGCCAGTTGGTAGGAGCCGGTGAAGCAGCGGTCGACCGCCCAGTTAAACAGGTTGACCTGGTCAGCATTCAACTCCAGCAGCAGAATAACTACCTCACAGCCCAGCTGGTGAACCTAGAGGTCAATGACAGGTGGTCAGTGCGAGTGTGTGTGCGACCACCATCAACTAATTTGAGCAACCAAACTACCGGATAAATCATGCATCTTCAATGACGATTTGACTGTTGGCGATGCGAGCAAAGTTGAACTTGATTAAAATCACTAGGGATGTTGCTGTGCAATACCGAATGGGGGAGGGAAAGCCTCAGACAAAAATATTCCATACTACAGTATATCCATTTAGAAATATGGGGTGTAAAAGGTTTCCTCGTTTTAAAAGCCTTGAGTAAGACTAGTCTGAAAGGATAGTAGAAGCTATATGTCATCTGTCATAGCAGGATTAATCACATTTTCTGGGCTACATGCCCAGTTTTTACTGTTCATTCTAAGGTTAAAGAATGTAAACACTAGCCTGGTCCCAGATCTGTTTGTGTTGTATAGCTGACATTGACCATACGAGTTGGCAAGACAGCACAAACAGATCTGGGACCAGGATATGTAAACAGGACACAATATTAAAGTCAACTTTGCCCCGGAGAAAGAATGAGGGAGACATATACAGAGAGGGACAGGTGCTTAATCCAGCCAGTCATGGTAAATTGACAAATAATTGAGCAAATTACACTGAGACAAAGGACAACATTCACTGCCTCCCCGCACCTGATCAAAACAACAGGGAACAGTTGGCATGTTTTACTGCGAGGAAACTAAGCAAACTATCAGAGGGCTATTTGGGTCATTGTGTGTGTGTGTGCGCGCGCAGCTATTTTAATTTTATGGGTTAGGATTAGGGTTAGAATTAGGATTAGGAGTTATGTTTAGGGTTTGGGTTAGAGTTACAGGTTAGGGTAAGGGTAAGGTTTAGGGTTAGGTGATAGGGTAAATAGGATTTTGAATGGAAATTAATTTTAGATCCCCACGAGGATAGAAGAACAAAACATGGGTGTGTGTGGCCACATCACATACCCGTATGTCCTGGCAGGCTAGTATGTTATCCAGCCACTTATAGAGGTATCCTTCTGGGGACAGTCCAACGTTGTCGAACACAGGTCCACAGCACAACACAGCAGACATGGCCTAGAGAAACAAACACACCCACTCTAGAAACAGTAGGACATGGCAGAAGGACCAACCCCCTGCTCAGGATGACTTCAGACACCTCGTCCCTAATAAAGGTTGGGTGCTGTATAGCTTCTGTACCATCACGCTGTGGCTTCCAGCACTAACCATAAAGGTTGGGTAGTGCTGCATATACAGTGCCTTCAGAAAGTATTCACACTCCTTGACTTTTTCCACATTTTGTTGTGTTACAGCCTGAATTTAAAATTGATTACATTTAGATGTTTACACACAATACCCCATAATGTCAAAGTGGAATTGTGTTTTTCAAAATGTTTACAAATTAATAAAAAATGAAAAGCTGAAATGTCTTGAGTCAATAAGCATTCAACAGTTATTAATTACACTTTGGATGGTGTATCAATACACCCAGTCACTACAAAGATACAGGCATCCTTCCTAACTCAGTTGCCAGAGAGGAAGGAAACCGCTCAGGGATTTCACCATGAGGTCAATGGTGACTTTAAAACAGTTAGAGTTTAATGTAGTTACTCCACAATACTAACCTAATTGACAGAGTGAAAAGGAAGCCTGTACAGAATAAAAATATTCCAAAACAGGCATCCTGTTTGCAATAAGGCACTAAATTAATACTGCTAAAAATGTGACAAACGCACTTAACACGTTGTATTCAGGTAGAACCCTTTTGGGTTCCATGTAGAACCCTCTGTGGAAAGGGTTCTATATGGAACCCAAAATGGTTATACTTGGAACCAAAAGGGTTCTTCAAATGGTTTTCCTATGGGGACAGCTGAAGAACAGTTTCAGGTTCTAGATAGCACCTATTTTTCTAAGAGTGTACCTCCCAACAACACAGTGATAGTGTTTCAAAGCCTGTTGGGACAATGGGGTGAACCACTGGTACAGAAGCTGATTGAAATGTCCAGCAGTTCTCCATGCAAAGTAGATGGTCTCCCTGTCACGGTCTTTGTTTGCAGTAGATCAATCAACAACGCTGACATCATTTTAAAGGGTGTGTCCCCCTTTGCGCCAAGACACACCGCAAACAGTCAGTCAACTGGACTGCAAACAGTCAGTCAACTGGACTGCAAACAGTCAGTCAACTGGACTGCAAACAGTCAGTCAACTGGACTGGAATGTCTCCAACATAGGCTTGCTTGGTCAGCATCATCACATCTCATTTATAACCTAACATTTCTTAGAGACATCGGATTCTATGTTGTCTTGACATGGTTTGGATTCCAGCTATACATTTCCCCTGGTCCATAAGGTATGGCTTTTAAATATATATGTGGAGTTGAGGGATAAAGTTAGAAAATGGGTGACTCCACGGTTTGTCTGGACTGGAGTCAAAATTAGCGGCAGCTGGGAAAAGTTTAAATTTAGCACTGGCTAAACTGCGAATTGACATTGCCGCATTGTACGGTAACTTAAAACCACATGCAGCACTTTGTTTCCTTATCATTTCCAAAGCACAGGTTTTACAAGTAGTGCTGTAGAACCAGGGAAATCTCCCATGAGGAACAATATGTACTTTAACCCTTAACACAGACAGAAAGGTGTTAATGTGAATAAGAGGTTCTGGAGTTCAGAGGAAGTGGGATGGAGAGTTGATGTACCACGGCATGTAAGTGGACAACTGTCTGGCCTAGACGGTCAACTCTGAACTAATACCCGATACCCAGAAGGCCAGATTACAACCAGATAAAAACACTTTAACTGATGTCATCAAAATGTCTGCGAAACGTCATATTTTGTAATCTGGTTGTAGTGACGTCAGATTACAACCAGGTAAAGACACGTTTTTTTGGTCACTAAAAATACTTCTGTCCTTTTTCAATAGAACACAACCTGACCATAACATCACATAAAAATATCAAAATGTCAGCCTGACATTTCAACCACTTTGCCCACTGGGTACAGCCAAATGAGGATTTATTTCTGGGAGTTTTCCATTGCTGTTGTGCTACTGCTTGGTCTTCCCGGGACTAGGCAAGGTTACTGTTTAGTTTAGTTTATTAGGACTGCACATTCAGCAGCTACTCTTCCTGGGGTCCACATAAAACATACTAATACATGGCAAAGTACAGAACAGTTATAGACAAGAACATCATAAGATATTACATTAAATAAAAATATGAAATAACAGTTATATAGAGGAAAGACACCAAAAATACTATTTACACACTATTCATACACTGAGTGTACAAAACATTAAGAAAACCTTCTACAAGGTGTCGAAAGCGTTTCACAGGATGCTGGCCCATGTTGACTCCAATGCTTCCCACAGTTGTCAAGTTGGCTGGATGTCCTTTGGGTGGTGGACCATTCTTGAGACACACGGGGAACTGATGAGTGTGTAAAACCCAGCAGCGTTGCAGTTCGTGACACAAACTGGTGCGCCTGGCCCCGTTCAAAGACACTTCAATCTTTTGTCTTTCCCAGTCAGCCTCTGAATGGCACACATACACAATCCATGTCTCAATTGTCTTAAGGCTTAAAAATTATTCTTTAACGTGTCTCCTCCCTTCATCTACACTGATTGAAGTGGATTTAGCAAGTGACATCAATAAGGGATCATAGCTTTCACCTGGATTCACCTGGTCAGTCTATGTCATGGAAAGAGCAGGTGTTCATAATGTGTTGTACACTCAGTGTATATACAGTACAGTTAAATGAAATAAAAAACAGATAAAACTGTTAAGCACTTTGTGACAAATGGTTTAGTAAAAGCACTATACAAATAACACATGTGATTGACTGATGTACCTTGAGGGCGCAGTACTGGTATCTGGTGATCTGGTGGTTCCTGTCACTGTACCGATCAAGAGGCGTGAACATGACGCTGAAGGGACCGGCCCATTGGCTGAACAGGATGAAGAGGTGGTGCCTTAGGCTCTGCTGCGGGAACAGGAAGCGTCGGTGGTGTACTGGAGGAGAAGAGGAGGAGAGGAAGAGGAGAAGGACAGTAAAATGTCCCAGTTAGTCCCCTTCACAGAACAGTCTCTGGGCATCACAATCACTGGGACATTACAAACTGCTACTGTATGGGCTGAGTGACTAAGCATTTCCTGAGAGAGAGCCGATGAAATCACTGGGGCATTACAAACTGCTACTGTATGGGCTGAGTGACTAAGCATTTCCTGAGAGAGAGCCTATGAAATCACTGGGGCATTACAAACTTCTACTGTATAGGCTGAGTGACTAAGCATTTCCTGAGAGAGCGCCTATGAAATCACTGGGGCATTACAAACTGCTACTGTATGGGCTGAGTGACTAAGCGTTTCCTGAGAGAGAGCCAATGAAATCACTGGGGCATTACAAACTGCTACTTTATGGGCTGAGTGACTAAGCGTTTCCTGAGAGAGAGCCGATGAAATCACTGGGGCATTACAAACTTCTACTGTATGGGCTGAGTGACTAAGCGTTTCCTGAGAGAGAGCCTATGAAATCACTGGGGCATTACAAACTTCTACTGTATGGGCTGAGTGACTAAGTGTTTCCTGAGAGAGAGCCGATGAAATCACTGGGGCATTACAAACTGCTACTGTATGGGCTGAGTGACTAAGCGTTTCCTGAGAGAGAGCCGATGAAATCACTGGGGCATTACAAACTTCTACTGTATGGGCTGAGTGACTAAGCGTTTCCTGAGAGAGAGCCTATGAAATCACTGGGGCATTACAAACTTCTACTGTATGGGCTGAGTGACTAAGTGTTTCCTGAGAGAGAGCCGATGAAATCACTGGGGCATTACAAACTGCTACTGTATGGGCTGAGTGACTAAACGTTTCCTGAGAGAGAGCCGATGAAATCACTGGGGAATTACAAACTGCTACTGTATGAGCTGAGTGACTAAGCGTTTCCTGACAGAGAGCCGATGAAATCACTGGGACATTACAAACTGCTACTGTATGGGCTGAGTGACTAAGCATTTCCTGAGAGAGAGCCTATGAAATCACTGGGGCATTACAAACCGCTACTGTATGGGCTGAGTGACTAAGCGTTTCCTGAGAGAGAGCCTATGAAATCACTGGGGCATTACAAACTTCTACTGTATGGGCTGAGTGACTAAGTGTTTCCTGAGAGAGAGCCTATGCTGAATCCCAAACCGGTTCTTCCCCTTTCCCTTCCCCTCGGCCCTCCATTTGCCCATTCACGTGTGCCTCCGCCATATGCACAAGTGTCCCAAAGTTGAGGTAGTGAAAATGATTGAGGGTGTAGGGGCTAATTACACCGTCAGATAGCCACTTCGACCAAGCCAGCAAGGCTGCAGGCTCCAGAGCGAAGTGCTATCTCATCACGCACTTCAATATGTTTGGAGTTTGCGCCATTTCATACAAAGGAATTGAGGCGTGCCTTTTTTCTGACACATGCATTTGTGTCTGATTGCGAGGCTTGACACATAAAATCAATGAAATACATCTAAATGAAATGTTTAACTGTTAATGAGATTTATATCTTGTAAAACGCCACAGGGAATTTGTTCATTTGAATTTCATGCTCTTTTTATTATTTAAATGTGTAACATGAATTGCATCATCCAAGTCATAAGTGTGTCCCGAGGTTGATGGGTTTATTGATCCCCTCGCCACTCTATGGGCTAGTTTGGGATTCACCGATGGACTACAGTCGTGTTCCACCTCCGTCTCTCATCTCTCATTCATCAGGCAGTCAGGAAGTCTGAAGTCTGGCTGCCAATGAGTCATCATCTGCCCTTGCCTTCCCCATTTAAGCTGCACTATTTTAGGACTGGTGTCCCTTGGAATATGGCCAAATCAAGATCAATGTCCCTGCATTCCCTAGGCCTGCACCAACCCTTGCCACATGGAGGTCTGTTTTCATCAATCATAAGCTACCAAAAAGTAGGATATTTTTGGTGACAGTGCGCATCTAGGGGGACCTGAAAACACACACATTCTGTTGAAACACAGTTATTTTGGATCCATAAGGCTCTGTTCAAAAGTAGTGCACTATATAGGGAAGAGGGTGCCGTTTGGGACACAACCTAAAATGTCGGCCAAAAAGTAATTTGGGCATTTACCGGGAACAGACTGGATAAGGTTGGCCATCATGGCACTGAAGTGAGCTCGGATGTCCTTGAGGATCTCCAGCTCTTTGTCGTTCTCCGCCTCCAGAAGCATCCGCGTCAGGTCCACGTACTCCAGGAACAGAGCTCCCAGGGCCAACGTGTCCCGCTCCAGAGCCCCATTGGTGCTGTGGACACCAGACAGACACACAGACAGATGGACAGATAGAAGAGAATATCAGTCAAGACAACAGTTCATTTACTTTATTTACATTTTCGAAACCATACTGTTGCTTTCACATCCAAGAGAGGACAGAGGTATTCTGTGGGTCCTGTGCTGCCCAGTGTGCTGGGCAGTGTCTCCAGCATGACCGTGAGTGTGCCAGTGAGCATGTCAGTGAGTGTGGATTGTGTGTCAGAGAGTGTGTCAGAGAGTGTGGGTTATGTCAGAGAGCGTGTCAGTGAGCGTGTCAGGGATTCACAGGAGGTTGGTGGCACCTTAATTGGGGAGGATGGGCTCATGGTAATGGCTGGAGCAGAATGGGTGGAATGGTATCAAATACACCCAGCACATTGTTTCCATGTGTTTGATCCCATTCCATTTGCTCCGTTCCGGCCATTATTATGAGTCGTCCTCCCCTCAGCAGCCTCCTGTACAGTGATTGGTCAGTGAATGGGACTCTAACCTATCACTGATGACACCAGAGTCAGCCAGCAGCTCAAATATCCTCAGCAGCTGCAGCCTCAGGAGGTCTCTCCGCTCACGACGCTTCTTGTTCTGAGACAGAAAGACAGAGAGAGGGGGAGGAGCGAGAGAGATAAAGAGATAGAATGGGAGGAAAAGAGAGACGAGAGATCCATCAGATAGGCACTTCTTCAAATAGCTGTTTCATCTACAATGTGTCATCAGGCAATGACCTCCCCTCTATATTCAATGACTTGCAATATGTTGCAAAGTAGTAGTTGTGTATGTAAGAACAATGGGGTGCGTTATGATGATTATGCCCATAGCTCACCTCTGGTCTTCTCTCCAAAGTCTCCTTCATTAAAGGATGCAGCTCCTCTAACAGCTCTCTAGACACACACAGAATTACATATAGAACTCTAGAATGGACATTTGGATCCTAGCAACATGCCTAAAAAACATCCATCTTGCTCAGGAAACCTTTCATTCTAGAAAAGGATCAAATGTGGTATAATATCATATATGTGGTATAATATCATATATCACTGTATGTATGTTAGCTAGTTAGTAATTTAATAGGATCTCTGTGATTACATAAATTATCTACTATACCAAAGTACTATATTATATGTTCTGAAATGTGATGAAAAACAATTTCACAAACATTCACAAAAAAGCACAGTAGATTGAGGCTTGCAGTGTTTTGCACTGATTAAATTGATTTCCAAGAAAAGGGTATTTGGGCAAAAATTAAGTCTACCCGGAACAAAGAGAAGGGGATATGTCCAAACTGAAAAAGACTGGAATGTACCACTCTGTGTTCAATCCCTCACATTAAACCAATTAATATCTCAAGTTTCTGTTTGACTGAATAAAAGGGTGTAGGGTGAAGTTTCCTCTAGCTGCGTATCTTGGGTCAGTTTAGCAATTTCCCCATTTATGGTTACGGTTCGGAACGGGGGAGGGGAAGCTGATCCTTGATCTGTACCTAGGGGAAACTTCTCCCTGGAGTGGAGGTAAGACACTGATAAATCACCCAGGTGTGCTGCTACATGTCAAATATAACTGGAATGATTATTGCCATAATCACGTACTGAGGAAATTCTTAAAACAAATAGCCTTTGCTTAGCTAACTCCTACACTGATCAGGGGCAACTTTAGTGTGTATGTGTGTGTGCGAGCGTGTTGTACCTGAAGACCAGGGAGTTGGTGCGTCCAAAGCCCAGCACCAAGGACTCTGTCAACTCGATGCTCTCTGCTCTCATTAGAGGGACCAGCTGCTTCAGGAGCCACGCCACTGAGGGGGTCCCAATCACCTGGTACACACACACACAAAACATTGTACATCACAGACAACTCAGTCACGTTCACCTGGTACACACACAAAACATTGTACAACCCAGTGCCAATCACTTGAGGAGCGTTCAACCAGGCTTCTGTTTGCGGCAGAACATGTTACCTAGTCACAATTTCAGTTGGACGATTTGAATGAATATTCCAAAATGTTACGGTGAAAAATCGAACAGCTAATTTTTGTGAGGCATTTTAGTGCCAATAATCAAACTGCAAATGACTCATTTGCTATTCCTATTACATTTAATATACACTACCAGTCAAAAGTTTGGAAACACCTACTCATTCAAGGGTTTTTCTTTATTTTTACTATTTTTTACATTGTAGAATAATAGTGAAGACATCAAAACTATGAAATAACACATATGGAATCATGTAGTAACCCAAAAAGTGTTAAACAAATCAAAATATATTTTATATTTGAGATTGTTCAAAGTAGCCACCCTTTGCATTGATGACAGCTTTGCACACTCTTGGCATTCTCTCAACAAGCTTCATGAGGTAGTCACCTGGAATGCATTTCAATTAACAGGTGTGCCTTCTTAAAAGTTAATTTGTGAAATGTCTTTCCTTCTTAATGCATTTGAGCCAATCAGTTGTGTTGTGACAAGGTAGGGGGGGTATACAGAAGATAGCCGTATTTGGTAAAAGACCAAGTCCATATTAAGGCAAAAACTGCTCAAATAAGCAAAGAGAAACGACAGTCCATCATTACTTTAAGACATGAAGGTCAGTCAATACGGAACATTTCAAGAACTTTGAAAGCTTCTTCAAGTGCAGTCGCAAAAACCATCAAGCGCTATGATGAAACTGGCTCTCATGAGGACCACCACAGGAATGGAAGACCCAGAGTTATCTCTGCTGCAGAGGATAAGTTCACTAGAGTTACCAGCTTCAGAAATGGCAGCCCAAATAAATGCTTCACTGAGTTCAAGTCACAGACACATCTCAACATCAACTGTTCAGAGGGGACTGTGTGAATCAGGCCTTCATGGTCTAATTGCTGCAAAGATACCACTACTAAAGGACACCAATAAGAAGAAGAGACCTGCTTGGGCCAAGAAACACGGGCAATGGACATTAGATGTGGAAATGTGTCCTTTGGTCTGGACTCCAAATTCAAGATTTTTGGTTCCAACCGCCGTGTCTTCGTGAGATGCGGTGTGGGTGAACGGATGATCTCCACGTGTGTATTTACCACCGTAAAGCATGGAGGAGGAGGTGTTATGGTGTCGGCGTGCTTTGCTGGTGACACTGTCTGTGATTTATTTAGAATTCAAGGCACACTTAACCAGCATGGCTACCACAGCATTCTGCAGCGATACGCCATCCCATCTGGTTTGGGCTTAGTGGGACTATCATTTGTTTTTCAACAGGACAATGACCCAACACACCTCCAGGCTGTGTAAGGGCTATTTGACCAAGAAGGAGCGTGATGGAGTGCTGCATCAGATGACCTGGCCTCCAAAATCCTCCGACCTCAACCCAATTGAGATGGCTTGGGATGAGTCGGACAGCAGAGTGAAAGAAAAGCAGCCAACAAGTGCTAAGCATATGTGGGAACTCCTTCAAGACTGTTGGAAAAGCATTCCAGGTGAAGCTGGTTGAGAGAATGCCAAGAGTGTGCAAAGCTGTCATCAAGGCAAAGGGTGGCTATTTGAAGAATCTCAAATATAAAATATATTTTGATTTGTTTAACACTTTTTGGGTTACTACATGATTCCATATGTGTTATTTCATAGTTTTGATGTCTTCACTATTATTCTACAATGTAAAAAATAGTAAAAATAAAGAAAAACCCTTGAATGAGTAGGTGTGTCCAAAATTTTGACTGGTACTGTACATAAGCCTACATGGCCACATTATTATTTGTAGTGGCAGTTTAGACCCGAAATAGACACTTACGTTCGCTGCACACTACCATCTCAGACTTTGAGATAACAAATGTTTACGGTTAACACAAAACGAATGGATATGTTAGCTAACCTTAACTAACGTTCACATACTATTTTACTTTTTGAATGCACATTTTTACATTTACATTTTAGTCATTTAGCAGACGCTCTTATCCAGAGCGACTTACAGTTAGTACACACACAAAACATTGTGCATCACACACAATTCAGTTCCAATCACCTGGTACACACACACACACAACTCAGACGTCTTTCCAAATGACAACACAACTTATTCACATGGTTTTCCAAACCAGAGCAAACCACAGTAGAAAGGATAACCATGTCACTTTACAAACTTTGAGGGGAGTTAGCTAGTTCCTATGGGGTGTTAGTTAGTCCCTGTGGGGAGTTAGTTAGTCCCTAGGTCCCTAGTTGGGAAAATCTACCTGTGAGAGGGGGAGATATCTACAGTGCATTCAGAAAGTATTCAGACCCCTTCCCTTTTTCCACATTTCGTTACGTTACAGCCTTACTCTAAAATGGATTAAATAAAACAATTATCATCAATCTACACACAATACCCCATAATGACAAAGCAAAAACAGGTTTTGTTTTCTTTTCAAATGTATTAAAAATAAAAAACAGAAATACCTTATTTGCATAAGTATTCAGACCCTTTGCTATGAGACTCGAAATTGAGCTGAGGTGCATCCTGTTTCCAGTGATCATCCTTGAGATGTTTCTATAACTTGACTGAAGTTCACCTGTGGTAAATTCTATTGATTGGACATGATTTGGAAAGGCACAAACCTGTCTATATAAGGTCCCACAGTTGACAGTGCATGTCAGAGCAAAAACCAAGCCATGAGGTTGAAGGAATTGTCCGTAGAGCTCCGAGACAGGATTGTGTTGAGGCACAGATCTGGGGAAGGGTGCCAAAAAGTTTCTGCAGTATTGAAGGTCCCCAAGAACACAGTGGCCTCCATCATTCTTAAATGGAAGAAGTCTGGAACCACCGAGACTCTTCCTAGAGCTGGCCGCCCGGCCAAACTGAGCAATCGGGGGAGAAAGGCCTTGGTCAGGGAGGTGACCAAGAACCCGATGGTCACTCTGACAGAGCTCCAGAGTTCTTCTGTGGAGATGGGAGAACCTTCCAGAAGGACAACCATCTCTGCAGCACTCCACCAATCAGGCCTTTATGGTAGAGTGGCCAGACGGAAGCCACTCCTCAGTAAAAGGCACATTACAGCCCACTTGGAGTTTGCCAAAAGGCACCTAAAGGTCTCTCAGACCATGAGAAACAAGATTGTCTGGTCTGATGAAACCAAGATTGAACTCTTTGGCCTGAATGACAAGCGTCACGTCTGGAGGAAACCTGGAACCATCCCTACGGTGAAGCATGGTGGTGGCAGCATCATGCTGTGGGGATGGCAGGGACTAGGAGACTAGTAAGGACCAAGGGAAAGATGAACGGAGCAAAGTACAGAGAAATCCTTGATGAAAACCTGAAATCAGAGCGCTCAGGACCTCAGACTGGGGCGAAGGTTCACCTTCCAACAGGACAACGACCCTAAGCACACAGCCAAGACAACGCAGGAGTGGCTTCAGGACAAGTCTCTAAATGTCCTTGAGTGGCCTAGCCAGAGCCCGGACTTGAACCTGATCAAACATCTCTGGAGAGACTTGAAAATAGCAGCGCACCGACGCTCCCCATCCAACCTGACAGAGCTTGAGAGGATCTGCAGAGAAGAATGGGAGAAACTCCCCAAATAAAGGTGTGCCAAGCTTGTAGCTGTCAGGTTTTGGCCATGACTGTTCGGGTTTTGGTCACTAGATGTCCCCATTGCACCTTTTTTGTACCTTTTGTTTTTTCTTGATCTAATTATTGTTTGCACCTGTAGGTCATTCCCCTGTTAGTATTTAAACCCTGTGTGTTCCTCAGTTCCTTGCTCAGTGTTTGTAAGTTAGCACCCAGCCCCAGCCCAAGCCTTGTGTTATATGGATATTTCTCTGGTGGGATTTTTACCACTTTGTGGAGTTTCTTTGTTTTTTGGAGGTTTTCCTCTTTGTGCCTCTTGGCTTTATTTTTGGACATTGTGGATTTAGTTTCTTTGCCTGAGGATTTTTGTTCTTTATTAAACCACCATCTCTAGTACTGCTGTGTCTGCCTCATCTTCTGGGTTCTGACAATTATTAGTGACTGTTTCTCGCATCGGGTCCTGACAGAAACACTGAGCCCTTATTATGAACCCAGAGGCAGCCAGTACCCAGGATTTTTTTTCCATGCTGTCCCACCATGAGGGGACTGTCCAACGCCACGAAGCTGCTCTGGTTCAGCAAGAGGCCTTAATGGCTAGACATTCTCAACTTCTGTCAGAGATGCTGACTTCCATAAAGCAGATTTCGGATCGACTTTCCCCGGCAACCGCTTCTGCTCCAGTTCATCCGATTCAAGGGCTCCTGGCAGTTAATCCCCTGGCGGAACCTCGTCTGCCGCCTCCTCAACGGTTCTCAGGGGACCCAAGTGTTTGTAAGGGGTTTTTCACCCAATGTTCTCTCTCCTTTTAGCTGCAACCATCGTCGTTTCCCACCGACCGGTCCAAGATAGCATATATCATCACCCTGCTGTCGGAAAAGGCTCTAGCCTGGGCTACTGCTGTGTGGGATGCCCAAAGTCCCTGCTGTGCCAGCTACTCTACCTTTGCTGAAGAATTCAAGCGAGTGTTTCAAGGTCCTACCAACGGCCCTGACTCAGCCAAACAGCTCCTGACTCTCCGCCAAGGTCGGCGCAGCGTGACGGACTATGCCATCCAGTTCCGCACTGTGGCAGCAGCAAGTGGCTGGAACGACGAGGCGCTCACAGTGTGTTTTTTGAAGGGTCTTTCTGACACCATCCAAGATGAACTGGCCACTCGGGAACCACCGGACAACCTCGAGTCCCTTATCAAGTTGGCTTCACGCATAGACCAGCGTCTGAGAGAGAGAGAACAAAACCATAGACCGCTCACCCTAGTTCCTATCGGTTCCAACTCCGAGTCTCCACCTTTATCCTCGCTGGCTCCACCAGAACCCATGCAGGTTGGACGCATCTCCCAGGCTGAGAGAGACCGCCGAATGAGGGAGCGATGCTGTCTATATTGCGGCAAACCGGGCCATTTCCGCTCCACGTGTCCCGGGCTCCAGGGAAACGCACTCTCCCGTGCAGGCCTGGGAGGACTGTAACGGGAAACATAACCTCCTCCCATCCATCCAACTCCCGCCTGCTCATTCCTGTTACCCTTTCCTTTGACGACCACGAGGTTTCTCTTCAAGCCTTGGTAGACTCTGGAGCCGCAGGTAACTTCATGGATGGGATCTGGGCGAAGGAGAATGGCGTTCCGTCTGAACCTCTAAGTGACCCCATAAGGGTTACTACGTTGGATAGAAGTCCTTTGGGATCTGGACTTGTCACTCGTGCCACTACCCCCTTACGACTTTCAGTTTCCCAACACAAGGAAGTGATGAACTTTCATCTGATCGCCTGTTCCGAGTTTCCTCTCGTCCTTGGCTATCCCTGGCTTCACAGCCATAACCCTCACATCGACTGGTCTGTGGGCACTATCAAGCAGTGGGGTCCCACGTGCCAAGCCACTTGTATCTTCCCGAGTTCCCAGAGTTCTCCTTCCGAGTCTCTAGAATCCATCGACTTGTCCCGAGTTCCCGAGTGTTACCATGACCTCAAACTGGTATTTAGCAAACAGAGGGCCACCAAACTACCACCCCATAGACCTTACGATTGCACCATCGACCTGTTGCCGGGGACCTGCCCTCCCAGGGGTCGGATCTTTTCCCTTTCTCCACCCGAACGAGCTGCTATGGATACCTACATCAAGGACGCTCTGACAGCAGGCCTCATGCGTCCATCTACCTCGCCGGCGGGAGCAGGGTTTTTCTTTGTGGCCAAGAAAGACGGCGGATTACGACCTTGCATCGACTACCGGGGACTCAATGCCATAACTGTCCGTAACCGCTACCCGCTACATCTTATGGCCACAGCCTTTGAGCTGCTCCAGGAAGCAGTTGTCTTCACTAAGCTTGACCTTCGGAACGCATACCATCTTGTGCGGATCAAACCCGGGGACGAGTGGAAGACCGCTTTCAACACGCCTACTGGCACTACGAATACTCGGTGATGCCCTTCGGCCTGACCAACGCTCCGGCTGTGTTCCAAGCGCTCATAAACGATGTGCTTAGGGATATGCTTAACATCTTCGTGTTTGTGTACTTGGATGACATCCTCATCTTTTCGAGCTCCCTTCAAGAACACACTAAGCATGTCAGACAAGTGCTCAAACGCCTCCTAGACAGCCATTTGTACGTTAAGCCGGAGAAGTGTGAATTCCATTCCTCTCGAGTACAATTCCTGGGATTTATAGTGGAACCCGGACGAGTCCAGATGGACCCCAAGAAGGTAGAGGCGGTAGCGGATTGGCCCACCCCCAAGTCCGTTAAGGAAGTTCAACGTTTCCTGGGCTTCACCAACTTTTACCGCAAGTTCATCAAGAACTTCAGCTCGGTGGCAGCCCCTCTCTCGGCGGTAACCAAGGGTGGCAACACAAGGTTTCTGTGGGGAAGAGAAGCTGAGACGGCCTTCCAAGGACTCAAGCAGCGCATCCTCTCTGCTCCCATCCTGACACTACCAACGGCGGAGGAACCTTTTGTGGTGGAGGTAGACGCATCAGAGGTTGGGGTTGGAGCTGTCCTGTCTCAGAGGGGTGGAGACAAGAAGCTTCATCCTTGCGCCTTCTTCTCTCACCGGCTTACCCCGGCCGAGAGGAATTACGATGTGGGGGACCGTGAACTCCTAGCGGTTAAGATGGCATTGAAGGAATGGAGACACTGGCTCGAGGGGGCTTCTCAACCGTTTCAAGTGCTTACGGACCACAAGAATCTGGAGTATATCCAGCAGGCGAAGCGGTTGAACGCCAGACAAGCTCGATGGTCTCTTTTCTTCAGCCGATTTCAGTTTATCCTCACCTATAGACCCGGGTCGAAGAATCTCAAACCGGACGCCTTGTCACGAATCTACTCTCCTGCCATTCGAGAAGATACTGACATGACTGTCCTTCCGGCCGCTAAGATCGTGGCTCCGATCTCGTGGCAAGTGGAGGATACCGTGAAACAAGCTCAAGCCATCGAACCGGGCCCTGGTGGAGGTCCTGCTAATCGGTTGTTTGTTCCCAAGGCAGCAAGGTCCCAAGTCCTTCGGTGGGGGCACTCCTCTCGCCTCACCTGTCACCCGGGCATAGGCCGCACCTTGGAGTTCATCCAGCGTAAGTTCTGGTGGCCCACCATGAAGGAAGACGTTGCCACTTTCATCAAGGCCTGTTCCGTGTGCTGCCAGGGCAAATCTTCTCACCTTCGCCCTCAAGGACTCCTTCACCCTCTATCTATTCCCCACCGACCCTGGTCCCATATCTCATTGGACTTTATTACTGGCCTTCCTCCGTCCCATGGTAATACTACGATCCTAGTCATCATCGACAGGTTTTCTAAGGCGGCCAGGTTTGTTCCTTTGACCAAATTACCTTCTGCCAAGGAAACAGCTGAGTTGGTGATTAACCATGTGTTCCGAGTCTTTGGGATCCCGCAAGATATGGTTTCCGACAGAGGTCCCCAGTTCGCCTCAAGGTTTTGGAAGGCCTTCTGCCAACTCATAGGGGCCACGGCCAGTTTATCTTCCGGGTACCATCCGGAGTCCAATGGCCAAACTGAGAGGATGAATCAGGAGCTGGAAACCACCCTCAGATGCATGGTTTCCAACAACCCGTCCACTTGGTCATCCTTCATTGTTTGGGCCGAGTACGCGCACAACACCTTGTGCTCCTCCTCCACTGGTATGTCCCCGCATGAGTGTCAGTTTGGCTATGCACCTCTACTGTTCCCGGACCAGGAGGCAGAAGTCAGAGTGCCTTCAGCCTCGAGGTTCATCAGACGCTGTCGGCTTACGTGGAAGAAGGCACGTCTTAATCTTCTGCGTTCCTCTCAGCAGTACCAACGACAAGCCAACAGAGGTCGCCGTCCCGGTCCTACCCTGTACCCCGGCCAGAGAGTATGGCTCTCAACTAAGAACCTACCGCTACGGGTGGAGTCTCGCAAGCTGTCCCAGAGGTTCATCGGTCCCTTTAAGATTGCCAGGAGAGTCAATCCCGTTACTTTTCGCCTGCACTTACCCAGATCCCTTAAGATCAATCCAACATTTCACATTTCTTTATTAAAACCTGTTGTTTTTTCTCCCCTTATTCCGGCAGGCAGACCTCCCCCTCCGCCCCGTGTCATCGGTGGCCAGTCGGCTTATACCGTCCACCGGATACTGGATTCCCGCCGGGTGCAGCGGTCCTGGCAGTATCTGGTGGACTGGGAAGGCTACGGTCCCGAGGAGCGCTCCTGGGTTCCTGCCAAGGACATACTGGACCCTGACCTCATTCGTCAGTTCAGGGCCCTCCACCCTGAGAAGGCTGGTAGGAACGTCAGGAGCCGTTCCTAGGAGGGGGATTCTGTCAGGTTTTGGCCATGACTGTTCGGGTTTTGGTCACTAGATGTCCCCATTGCACCTTTTTTGTACCTTTTGTTTTTTCTTGATCTAATTATTGTTTGCACCTGTAGGTCATTCCCCTGTTAGTATTTAAACCCTGTGTGTTCCTCAGTTCCTTGCTCAGTGTTTGTAAGTTAGCACCCAGCCCCAGCCCAAGCCTTGTGTTATATGGATATTTCTCTGGTGGGATTTTTACCACTTTGTGGAGTTTCTTTGTTTTTTGGAGGTTTTCCTCTTTGTGCCTCTTGGCTTTATTTTTGGACATTGTGGATTTAGTTTCTTTGCCTGAGGATTTTTGTTCTTTATTAAACCACCATCTCTAGTACTGCTGTGTCTGCCTCATCTTCTGGGTTCTGACAATTATTAGTGACTGTTTCTCGCATCGGGTCCTGACAGTAGCGTCATACCCAAGAAGACTCCAGGCTGTAATCGCTGCCAAAGGTGCTTCAACAAAGTACTGAGTAAAGGTTCTGAAAACGTATGTAGATGTAATATTTTATTTATTTTACTATTTTTTAAATCTAAAAACCTGTTTTTGCTTTGTCATTATGGGGTATTGTGTGTAGATTGATGAGGGGGAAAAAACAACTTCATCCATTTTAGAATAAGGCTGTAAGATAACAAAATGTGGATAAAGTCAATTGGTCTGAATACTGTACCTTGTTGTCGTAGCTGATACTGCCGTCAGGTGTAGTGATCTCAGGGGTGGAGGCTCTCAGGTGGCCGGGGCTCATGATACTGGGCTTGGCCAGTCCAAAACACAGGATCAGGTAGTTCCTCCATAGGGTCACGTAGCTGTCCCCACCACCCGACGTGCTGCTGGCCTTCTTAGCGTATATCGGGTTACTGGAGAGACCCATGGTAAACACACACACAGTGCATTGAAAGTGTATGGTAAGTCAAATTGAACCTTTAGGGGTGGGGGGGTTTCCTGACACAGGTTAAGCCTAGTCCTGGGCCCGTATCCACAAAGCTTCTCAGAGTAGAACATTTGTCGTACTGTAAGCGCTGAGAATAGAGACATTTTCCTCCTACTCTGATGGGTAACAATAAAAGCTGTGCACGAAGCCTCTTCAGTCCCACCTAGTTGACAGATATTTAGGAGACCTCATGAGCTGTCCTAACCAGTTAAGAGTTACTGTCACGCCCTGACTCAGGGGACGCTTATATGTTGAGTCAGGGTGTGTATATTCCTTGTTGTGCTTTTTCTATGTGGGGAATCTAGTATGTATAGTTCTATGTTGGCCAGTGTGGTTCCCAATCAGAGGCAGCTGTCGCTTGTTGTCTCTGATTGGGGACCATACTTAGGCAGCCTATTGGCACTGTCTAGTTGTGGGATCTTGTTCCGTGTAAGGTTTGTTGTGTGTTACCTTAGGACTTCACGTGTCGTTGGTTTATTGTTTTGTCGTGTGTTTATTTAGTTTAATACACATTTCACACTGCGCCTTGGTCTGACCCGTCCTTCAACGAACGTGACAGAAGATCCCACCAAACGAGGACCAAGCAGCGTGCCCAGGCGGCGCGAGTAGCCATGTCACAGGTGGGCAATTTGTGGTCATGGGAAGAGATATTTCCGGGGAGAGGACCATGGGCTAAGGTAGATGCCCAGGCAGGAGAGGAGCAACGGCAACGCGGAGGAGGCCGGTCGAGGAGGAAGCCCGAGAAGCAGCCCCAACAAAATGTAGGGGGGGGCACACGGGGTGGTTGGCGGAGCCTAGTGTCAGAGCAGAGCCAACTCCCCGTACTCACGCGAGGAAGCGTATGACTGGGCAGGCTCCGTGTTATGCGGAGCTAAGTACTGTGTCGCCAGTGCGCCGGCACAGTCCTGTACGTCCTGTGCTTACACCACGCACGTGCCGTGCGAAGATGGGCATCCAGTCAGGACGGGGTGTGCCGGCTCAACGCTCCTGGTCTCCAGTACGCCTCCTCGGTCCCGCATATCCTGCACCAGTTCTACGAACTGTACTTTTGATATTGACCAAATACTTATTTTCCACCATAATTTGCAAATATATTCATAAAAAATCCTACAATGTGATTTTCTGGATTTTTTTTCCTCATTTTGTCTGTCATAGTTGACGTGTACCTATGATGAAAATTACAGGCCTCTCTCATCTTTTTAAGTGGGAGAACTTGCACAATTTGTGGCTGACTAAATACTTTTTTCCCCCACTGTATATGCACACAATGAAAAGAGAAACAATCTGGCCACTAAGGGCTTCATTAAATGATTATGATTTTGATTGTGTGTGTGTGTGTGTGTGTGTGTATGTATGTGTGTACAGTGGGGAGAACAAGTGTTTGATACACTGCCGATTTTGCAGGTTTTCCTACTTACAAAGCATGTAGAGGTCTGTAATTTTTATCATATGTACACTTCAACTATCAGAGACGGAATCTAAAACAAAAATCCAGAAAATCACATTGTATGATTTTTAAGTAATTAATTTGCATTTTATTGCATGACATAAGTATTTGATCACCTACCAACCAGTAAGAATTCCGGCTCTCACAGACCTGTTCGTTTTTCTTTAAGAAGCCCTCCTGTTCTCCACTCATTACCTGTATTAACTGCACCTGTTTGAACTCGTTACCTGTATAAAAGACACCTGTCCACACACTCAATCAAACAGACTCCAACCTCTCCACAATGGCCAAGACCAGAGAGCTGTGTAAGGACATCAGGGATAAAATTGTAGACCTGCACAAGGCTGGGATGGGCTACAGGACAATAGGCAAGCAGCTTGGTGAGAAGGCAACAACTGTTGGCGCAATTATTAGAAAATGGAAGAAGTTCAAGGTGACGGTCAATCACCCTCGGTCTGGGGCTCCATGCAAGATCTCACCTCGTGGGGCATCAATGATCATGAGGAAGGTGAGGGATCAGCCCAGAACTACACGGCAGGACCTGGTCAATGACCTGAAGAGAGCTGGGACCACAGTCTCAAAGAAAACCGTTAGTAACACACTACGCCGTCATGGATTAAAATCCTGCAGCGCACGCAAGGTCCCCCTGCTCAAGCCAGCGCATGTCCAGGCCCGTCTGAAGTTTGCCAATGACCATCTGGATGATCCAGAGGAGGAATGGGAGAAGGTAATGTGGTCTGATGAGACAAAAATAGAGCTTTTTGGTCTAAACTCCACTCGCCGTTTTTGGAGGAAGAAGAAGGATGAGTACAACCCAAAGAACATCATCCCAACCGTGAAGCATGGAGGTGGAAACATCATTTTTGGGGATGCTTTTCTGCAAAGGGGACAGGACGACTGCACCGTATTGAGGAGAGGCTGGATGGGGCCATGTATCGCGAGATCTTGGCCAACAACTTCCTTCCCTCAGTAAGAGCATTGAAGATGGGTCGTGGCTGGGTCTTCCAGCATGACAACGACCCGAAACACACAGCCAGGGCAACTAAGGAGTGGCTCCGTAAGAAGCATCTCAAGGTCCTGGAGTGGCCTAGCCAGTCTCCAGACCTGAACCCAATAGAACATCTTTGGAGGGAGCTGAAAGTCCGTATTGCCCAGCGACAGCCCCGAAACCTGAAGGATCTGGAGAAGGTCTGTATGGAGGAGTGGGCCAAAATCCCTGCTGCAGTGTATGCAAACCTGGTCAAGACCTACAGGAAATGTATGATCTCTGTAATTGCAAACAAAGGTTTCTGTTCCAAATATTAAGTTCTGCTTTTCTGATGTATCAAAAACTTATGTCATGCAATAAAATGCAAATTAATTACTTAAAAATGAGAGAGAGAGTGTGTGTGGAATGGGAGGCATGTAACTATCACACAAGTTATTATGGAAACCCCTAGTGCTGTGGGGTGGTCATGAAATTTGGTCAGCCGGTTATTGTCATGCAAAAGACTGTCGGTCTCACGGTAATTTACCGTTAATTAACAAACACGTTTAGCATCTCCAGGCCTCCACGCATATACAGTGGCTTGCGAAAGTATTCACCCCCCTTGGCATTTTTCATTTTTTTTTGCCTTACAACCTGGAATTAAAATGGATTTTGGGGGGGTTTGTATCATTTGATTTACACAACATGCCTACCACTTTGAAGATGTAAAATATGTTTTATTGTGAAACAAACAAGAAATAAGACAAAAAAACAATACTTTGTAGAGCCACCTTTTGCAGCAATTACAGCTGCAAGTCTCTTGGAGTATGTCTCTATAAGCTTGGCACATCTAGCCACTGGGATTTTCGTCCATTCTTCAAGGCAAAACTGCTCCAGTTCCTTCAAGTTGGATGGGTTCCACTGGTGTACAGCAATGTTTAAGTCATACCACAGATTCTCAATTGGATTGAGGTCTGGGCTTGACTAGGCCATTCCAAGACATTTAAATATTTCCCCTTAAACCACTCGAGTGTTGCTTTAGCAGTATGCTTAGGATCATTGTCCTGCTGGAAGGTGTACCTCCTTCCCAGTCTCAAATCTCTGGAAGACTGAAACAGGTTTCCCTCAAGAATTTCCCTGTATTTAGCGCCATCCATCATTCCTTCAATTCTGACCAGTTTCCCAGTCCCTGCCGATGAAAAACATCCCCACAGCATGATGCTGCCACCACCATGCTTCACTGTGGGGATGGTGTTCTCGGGGTGATGAGAGGTGTTGGATTTGTGCCAGACAAAGCGTTTTCCTTGATGGCCAAAAAGCTAGATTTTAGTCTCATCTGACCAGAGTACCTTCTTCCATATGTTTGGGGAGTCTCCCACATGCCTTTTGGCGAACACCAAACGTGTTTGCTTATTTTTTTCTTTAAGCAATGGCTTTTTTCTGGCCACTCTTCCATAAAGCCCAGCTCTGTGGAGTGCACGGATTAAAGTGGTCCTATGGACAGATGCTCCAATCTCCGCTGTGGAGCTTTGCAGCTCCTTCAGGGTTATCTTTGGTCTCTTTGTTGCCTCTCTGATTAATGCCCTCCTTGCCTGGTCCGTGAGTTTTGGTGGGCGGCACTCTCTTGGCAGGTTTGTTGTGGTGCCATATTCTTTCAAAACATTTTTTGAATGGATTTAAAAGGGATGTTCAAAGTTTCTGATATTTTTTTATAACCCAACCCTGATCTGTACTTCTCCACAACTTTGTCCCTGACCTATTTGGAGAGCTCCTTGCTCTTCATGGTGCCGCTTGCTTGGTGGTGTCCCTTGCTTAGTGGAGTTGCAGACTCTGGGGGGCCTTTCAGAACAGGTATATATATACTGAGATCATGTGACACTTAGATTGCACACAGGTGGACTTTATTTAACTAATTATGTGACTTCTTAAGGTAATTGGTTGCACCAGATCTTATTTAGGGGCTTCATAGCAAAGGGGGTGAATACATATGCACGCACCACTTTTCCGTCATTAATTTTTTTGAAACAAGTTATTTTTTTCATTTCACTTCACCAATTTGGACTATGTTGTGTATGTCCATTACATGAAATGCAAATAGAAATACATTTAAATCACAGGTTGTAATGCAACAAAATAGGAAAAACGCCAAGGGGGATGAATACTTTTGCAAGGCACTGTACGCGTTTCAGCACTCGAACAGTTCTTGTGCTGACGTTGCTTCCAACTCGGTAGTGAGTGTTGCAACCGAGGACAGATTATTTTTACGTGCCAAGTGCTTCAGCACTCGGCGGTCCCATTCTTTGAGCTTGTGTGTCCTACCACTTTGTGGCTGAGCCGTTGTTGCTCCTAGACTTTCTACTTCACAATAACAGCACTTACAGTTGACCGGGGCAGCTCTAGCAGGGCAGAAATTTGATGAACTGACTTTTTGGAAAGATTGCATCCTATGATGGTGCCACGTTGAAAGTCACTGAGCTCTTCAGTAAGGCTATTCTACTGCCAAAGTTTGTCTATGGAGATTGCATGGCTGTGTGCTCAATTTTATACACCTGTCAGTAACAGGTGTGGCTGAAATAGCCGAATATACTAATTTGAAGGGGTGTCCACATACTTTTGTATTTATAGTGTAGATAAAGATATCCCCTGATATTGACCATTCTCGCCTAATGCAAATGTGTTGATATAACGGTAATTTATCAAAATTCTGTGTTTAACAACCATCATACTGTATGATTCAGTGCAATATGCCTATCACATTATTATTTTTTTATCTGAATTTGTACAAAAAAAAGGGTTATGCTTCCAACATATTCGGCAAGAATTAAGAGTTGGCAAAGTTAAATCAAAAGTTTTACCATGGCAACATTTGATGTAGTCACATTCACCGTGGTTGTCTGAAGAGTGATATAGAGTTCACAGCTGCCGATGCCTCATAACGATTGGTTATTCCCCATAATTTGCAACAATGTCAATGAGCGTCATCCCCACCTTTCCTTTGCAGTACCTCAAACTGTCGTGATTACCAGCTGAGATAAACTTTTATCCGTTTATTTTACTCCTGGCTCAAGGATTGTCTGGGCAATGTCTTCACATCCTCCTAAAAGTTTTTTAAAATCTAAAAACAGGTTTTAAGAACCTTTTCTGAGATGCTTTGTGGATAAGGGCCCAGGACTAGGCCTACTCTGTTTCTAGGAAACCGCCCCTTAGAGTGCTGTCCATTTTATTTTTATGGATTATCTTACATCAAGATACACATTGTAAAATACACTTTTGTACAATACTCTGACTTGTCATCCTCTGGGGCTGTACTGTACTCAATCTGTACAATAAATCAAATCCAACATGGGGTTGTGTCAGGTTGGCTTGGGTTGGAAACAATAAAGATCAAGATTCAATCAGCAATAGAATTCATCAGTACTCACGTGGGGTCCACCAGGGGCATGAGCAGCTGCATGCGCGTGAAGGCGTAGGACCAGGTGTAGCTAAGGGCGGTGGGGCAGTGTTTGGGCAGGTGGTCCTGATGCAGCAGGCTGTAGAGACAAAGGACCCAGGGGTCCTTGACCGACTGGGCAAAGATCCACACGTGGGACGGGCTCCGGATGTCATAGTGGCTGTTGACCAGAATGGAGTTCCACTCCACCAGCCATTGCAGGTCTACTTGGTGGGTCAACGGAAGAGTGGCCTAAAAAGGAGTTTTGGGATTGGGAGACAGTAGGGTCAGGGGTTAGAGTTCAAGGGTTAGAGGTTTCAGTCAATTCAGGAAATTATCTTCAATTACAATTAAAGGCTATGGACTGTTTATTGAGAAATCATAAAAAATGAATGCAATTTTTTGGGGGTTGTTCAATTAGAATTACAATTGCAGTTCTAGAACCAGGCTAGTACTGCCATCCACAATTATATGATCAGTGAAGCAGATTCTTCATACAGATAACTAAGGTAATAATAATATGCCATTTAGCAGACGCTTTTATCCAAAGCGACTTACAGTCATGCGTGCATACATTTTTTTTTTGTGTATGGGTGGTCCCGGGGATCGAACCCACTACCTTGGCGTTATAAGCGCCGTGCTCTACCAGCTGAGCTACAGAGGACCACGGTGATCAATGGAAGCTAACCAGATCACTTGATGACAGTATGTGGAGCAGACAGGGCTGCAATACCCATCCTGAATGTCTGGAGATTGAGTCATGGCACAGTGATTACAAAGTTATGAAATGCCAGAAATTGAACCTAAAATAAGTGGATTACTTAGGCGAGCGGAATGCAGCCAGACTTGCACAGAAGCTATACTGTCTGAGTACACACTGACGCCTTCAGTCTCCCCTCTCTCCCTCCACCCAAACCCTCCGCCTCCGTTCTCCCTCACACATACACACACACAGAGTGCAACAGAGAGAAACGCTCACCGTGTCCGACACTGCCACATGGACAAAACTGTCCAGAACCACCAGGCTCAGCTGGTCCATGACCTCTATCATGGGTTTGTCATCATCCTGTAAGGTAACACAGAATCCACCATGTTCAATCAACTCTGGTCCAATACTCTGTAACCAGCATACAATTTACTGGTTAACTTTCCAGTTAGTCAGCTTGACTGGGGAGCTACACTGGGGCTTCGGGAAAACAGTCGGTTTTTAGCTGTTAGCCTACATTAGACCTGTAACTTGTTGCAGGCCTGAGCAGAGAGCATCCACTTTATCAAGTGCTCTGGGGTGTGAGCCGTGCATTGAATTCTTGAGAAAAAAAAACATAGCTTGACATTTTATGGTGAGCAGTGCAAACCTCTCGTGAAATGAATGGGAGTGTCTCATGCTCTGCAAAAGTTACGCGTCCAGTGTAGCCTGTAAGTCAACCAGGTAGGTTAATCAGAACCACACTGCATCAAAGGTTAGAAAATAGCCTTTTGGATGTGTTGTGGTGGTTTCTATGGTTCTCCATCTTTTACAATAACAGCCCGGCGATTTTAACCCAATCTCACCCTCCCCCTTACCTCAGCCTGTCCGATGGCGAAGAACAGGCAGCGGATCTCCCTGAGGATGGCCACGGCCAGTTTGCGCGTGGCGAGCTGACAGGAGCAGAGCAGCAGCAAGGCCAGCCCCTCGACGGCGTGCAGCACCATGGAGTGGGTACCGTGATCCACCAACATGCGGTGGCTGGAGCCCGACTGCAACATCAACACAGAGGACACAGGCTCAAACAACAACACCTCAATAGAAGAGTATGGCGTACTCACAACAAAACTAGACACTCCTTTTGATTCCTTTCTGAAAAAACAGAAACCATGCCCTTATGTAAAACTGGTGCTGAACAATTTTTAAGGTCGGTTCGGTTTCGGTTCATTCATTAAAAAAAATAATCATGGTTTTCGATTTCGTTTTCTTTGCACAAGAGTGTGCAAAGATGTGTAGTGTCTTAAGTGTGATAGAGGGAACTTGGCTCTAAGATTTTGCTGATGTGGCAAAATGATGTAACTCTATTCTACAGTGCTGGAAACATCTGGAAATCATTACTTATGGAAATATGATATGGGGAGTAAGGTAGAAAAGACCAGGGATTGGTTTTTAGGATCACACCATATTACGTCATAAATTATATAAAATCATGTCTTGAACAATAGAAGGGGAGAATAGCAAATTACTGATTGGCTGTGCTGTCTCACAGATATCTGCAGAATCTGTCAAATTCCGATGCTGGAACCTTTGTTATAATAAACCTTTGAAAACAGAGTACAGTGTCGGCGGATCTTCTTATCACTACGGCATTACCAGCAAAAGCTCGGTCTTGTTTACCACAGATGTCATCAAGGCAAAGGGTGGCTACTTTGAAGAATCTCAAATATAAAATATATTTTGATTTGTTTAACACTTTTTTGGTTACTACATGATTCCATATGTGTTATTTCATAGTTTTGATGTCTTCACTATTATTCTACAATGTAGAAAATAGTAAAAATAAAGAAAAATCCTTGAGCGAGTAGGTGTGTCCAAACTTTTTACTGGTACTGTATATACACAAAGATTTTTTTAAGTGACCGGGATTGCACAATAAAGTCGGGGACTTATTTCCATTGTGGTCCCTATGTTTTAAAAACATAAATTCAAATACAATTACATAGATACAGACACATTACATAGATAGAGACGAAACAATGCTCAACCTCCAGATGAGTTTGAGGGGGGAGTTTAAGTACAATTCTTACAAGCTTGTTTGTCTGGTAGCTTATTCTTTAGATATTTGGGGCTGCCGGTGAACCATGATGTGCAGGCATAATCAAAGTGACACTGGACTAGCTCACTTGCCTTTAGGGTGTCTATAGCTAGGTTTCCATCCAATTGGGACAGATTTTCATGTGACTATTCTAAAATCTTCATAAAAACAATATGCCATTTCAGAGTTTCCTTTAGGAAAATCTGGGGCCGGACAGGGAAGATTTTTCAATTATCGGACATTTGAGAAATGTAACGTCATCCATATGCATTCAAATCCAACCTGGCTCAGCCAGCACCATCAATAAACGAGGGATGTTGGACAAATGAGCCACATTTACATGTCCTTAAAAACAAACAGCCTATTACAAATTACAAAAACACTATTCCTTGTGTTTCGATGTGTAGCATATTCAAAACTTTATAGCCTATTTTGGGGGTTTTTAGGCTACTTTCCTAAAACAATAACTGTCCAAATCACAGTTCAGCTGTCAGAGATTTTAGCACTACATTTATCATGGCATAGCAAGCAAAGTCTTAGGCGTCCACTGAATGATATTAATATTTTAATGAATATATATTTACAGTGCATTCGGAATGTATTCAGACCCCTTGACTTTTCCCACATTTTGTTACGTTACAGCCTTATTCTAAAATTGATTAAATTGTTTTTTCCCCTCAATCTACACACAATACCCCATAATGACAAAGCAAAAACAAGTTTTTAGATTGTTTTGCAAATGTATAAAAAATTAATAAAATAAACAAGGCCCTTCTCCCCCGATTGCTCAGTTTGGCCGGTCGGCAAGCTCTAGGAAGCGTCTTGGTGATTCCAAACTTCTTTCATTTAAGAATGATGGAGGCCACTGTGTTCTTGGAGACCTTCAATGCTGCAGCAATTTTTTGGTACCTTTCCCCAGATCTGTGCCTCGACACAATCCGGTCTCGGAGCTCTATGGACAATTCCTTCGACCTCATGGCTTGGTTTTTGCTCTGACGTGCACTGTCAACTGTGGGACTTTATATAGACAGGTGTGTGCCTTTCCAAATCATGTCAAATCAATTGAATTTACCACAGGTGGACTTCAATCAAGTTGTAGAAGGATGCTTAATGGAAACAGGATGCACCTGAACTCAATTTCGAGTCTCATAGCAAAGGGTCTGAATACTTATGTAAATAAGGTATTTCTGTATTTTATTTTTTATACATTTGCAAACATTTCTAAAAACCAGTTTTCACATTGTCATTATGGGATATTGTGTGTAGATTGATGAGGGAAAAAATTTATTAATCCATTTTAGAATAAGGCTGTAACAACAACAAGGTGGAAAAAGTCAAGGGGTCTGAATACTTTCTGAAAGCACTGTATAGCCTAAATAAAAGGAAGAGAAGCTTAGGCCTAACCCCAGAGAGATAGAGATATGCCGGTGGCATGCTACGACACCGACATGCATTTCTTTATGTCAGATGGCTACTGCATCTGCTATACAGACGGACAGAAGGAAGTTGATCCGAATATTTTGTATAAAGATAAGCATTATATTGTTCGATTATAGGAGTAACTCTGGTAGGCCTGAAATAGTCTTCCTCACCTCAAGTTCAACTGTCGGAGTCAGTTGTAGCGCCGAGGCGCACTGCCCTCATATCATAGGCCCCTCCCCCATAAAACACACAACCCTCCCCAAAGCAACAACAAAAAAAGTTTGACAACCCTCCCCTATTTGGGACAACCCCTCCCCCACAGTACATTTCAATCTGTCCCTAACACAGAATAAAACAATTAATAAAAGTCCCATGATGGTAGTGACTGCCCATTACTGCTTATCACTTATTAACCATCATTTATTCACATTACATTAATAAAATATTTGTTTTATTTGATGACTTTATTATTTAATTCCAAGTCATCATCTCATCTCTATAGAGCAGCTGCCTATGCTGTCTGACAACATCACTATTTTAGTAGTTCTTCAAAGTAAATAAGGCAGACTTTTATGACTGCTGAATACCAACTATCAATCACTTAGATCAGGTATTTTCAGGCTTGTGAAGCCACTGTTTTCTATCCCCATGTAATCTTCTGTCAGTCTCTTGCTGCATTCAAAACAACTGGGAACTGGCAACTCTCCGACTTCCAACTTCAGTGCGTTCAAAACTGGGAACTCTGAAAACATTGAGCTCCGACTGGGAAAAATCGATTTGAACGGTCATCCAACTCGGAATTCCAACTTGGGAACTCGGGCCTATTTCTAGAGCTCCGACCTTCCGACCTGAAGATCACTGACGTCATGATTTGATCTAATCTTTTTCAGAGTTCCCAGTTGTTTTGAACGTGGCATCTGTGTCAGCTCCGCACAGACTGGACAAGTTTAAGCGGGCATGCAATGGATTATGGTCATTGTAATTAAGTACTACATTTTCTGTGCTAAACTGTGTAGAATATTGTCCTGTTGGAAACTACAACTCCCTACTACAATGCACAGTACAGGCTTAATCTGATTTATCTCTACATAAACTGCACATCGAGCTCACAGAAAAAAACGAAATAAAATGGAATTCAAATAATTGAACCGACATCGGTAAATGTGTTGTTTAAAAACCGAATTGCTCAAAACTACATAAAACATACAGGCACCTAATGTAGCTACGCATTACACATCACAGCCTATATCTCCACTGTAAGAGTAATAAGGAAATGTTAGACAGCCTATCTCTGTTTACTGTACCTCTGCAGTGCGTATCTTGGCCGTGTCGCAGCCCTTCTCTGGGGCTGACAGAGCCTGTCTCCACTGGGTCAACAGCTGGAGCAGCAGCCTGAGGGAGGTGTCCAGTAGGGCCTGCAATCAATCAATTAGTCAATCAATCCATCCATCAATCAAGAAATCAACTCATCAAGCCAACAATCAACTCATCATAGTTCCATCCAGCCGTCTATACATTAACCCATCCATCCGTCCATCCATCCATCCATCTGTACCTGGTGGCTGTCCTGAACCTCCCGCAACAGGAAGTTGATGAAGCCAAACAGGACGTCATCACGCCACTCAGGGAAGTCCACCAGTAAACTCTGGAGGGAGTTCTGGGCTATGAGGCGTAGCTCGTCGTCCATGTGAATGGTCAACCTGGGAGAAAAATAACACACACAAGGTGCGTTTTTAAAGTTTACTAAACTGTACTTAAAGCTGAAATCCTTAATTGCTACATCAATATTTGGACAAACAAAAACAGGTTTGTAGAAATATTTGCAAATGTATTAAAAATAAAAAACGGAAATATCACATTTACATAAGTATTCAGAACCTTTACTCAGAACTTTGTTGAAGCACCTTTGGCAGCGATTACAGCCTTGAGTCTTTTTGGGTATGACGCTACAAGCTTGGCACACCTGTATCTGGGGAGTTTCTCCTATTCTTCTCTGCAGATCCTCTCAAGCTCTGTCAGGTTGGATGGGGAGCGTTGCTGCACAGCTCTTTTCAGGTCTCTCCAGAGATGTTCGATCGGGTTCAACTCCGGGCTCTGGCTGGGCCACTCAAGGACATTCAAGAGACTTGTCCCAAAGCCACTCCTGCGTTGTCTTGGCTGTGTGCTGAGGGTTCATTGTCCTGTTGAGGTCCTGTTAGCTCTGGAGCAGGTTTTCATCAAGGATCTCTCTGTACTTTGCTCCATTCATCTTTGCCTCGATCCTGACTAGTCTCCCAGTCCCTGCTGCTGAAAAAAAATCCCCCCCAGCATGATGCTGCCACCACCATTCTTCATCGTATGGATGGTGCAAGGTTTCCTCCAGACGTGACGCTTTGCATTCAGGCCAAAGAGTTCAATCTTGGTTTCATCAGACCAGAGAATCTTGTTTCTCATGGTCTGAGAGTCTTTAGGTGCCTTTTGGCAAACTCCAAGTGGGCGGTCATGTGCCTTTTACTGAGGAGTGGCTTCCGTCAGGCCACTACCATAAAGGCCTGATTGGTGGAGTGCTGCAGAGATGGTTGTCCTTCTGGTAGGTTCTCACATCTCTACAGAGCTCTGTCAGCGTGACCATCGGGTTCTTGGTCACCTCCCTGACAAAGGTCCTTCTCCCCCGGCTCAGTTTGTCTGGGCGGCCAGCTCTAAGAAGAGTCTTGGTGGTTCTAAACTTTTTCCATTTAAGAATGATGGAGGCCACTGTGTTCTTGGGGACTTTCAATGCTGCAGAAATATTTTGCCACCCTTCCCCAGATCTGTGCATCGACACAATCCTGTCTCGGAGCTCTACGGACAATTCCTTCGAACTTTTGCTCTGACATGCACTATCAACTGTGGGACCTTATATAGACAGGTGTGTGCCTTTCCAAATCATGTCCAATCAATTGAATTTACCACAGGTGGACTCTAATCTAGTTGTAGAAACATCAAGGATGATCAATGGAAACAGGATGCACCTGAGCTCAATTGTCGAGTCTCATAGCAAAGGGTCTGAATACTTATGTAAATAAGATATCTGTTTTTTATTTTTAATACATTTGCAAAAAAATCTAAAACCTGTTTTTGCTTCGTCATTATGGGTTATTGTGTGTAGATTACTGAGGGTAAAAAAAAAATCAATTTTACAATAATGTGGAAAAAGTCAAGGGGTCTGAGTACTTTCCGAAGGCACTGTATAAATAAATGACATATACCCATTGATTCTTGAATAATATAACTTATAAATGCCTAATGAGCTTAGTTCAACTGTCGTACCCCATCAGAACCCAAAATATAAGCTTGTTTATTTTGATGTTTGTAAACAATGTAAACAAACACTATATAGCCTCAAAACATGGTTTAAACTATGATTTTGATTATAATGGATGGTCAGTCCTTGCATCCATAGCTCTGTCTATGAATTTGAGAGTGATTACATTTCTCCAGGCCCATCCCTCAGCTTTTTACCAAAACACAGGTGGGGTGAACACTTTGTTACTGTTTCAATTAAGGATTCTAGCTTTAAATAATTGCCTCCTTATAACACATTGTTGAAGAAAAGTTTCAAATGAAATCACGCTGCCAGAATATAATGAGGTTTATGGTAGTTTTTCAAGTCAGGTAAGATAGGAATGGTTTCTGGTCTTAAGTGGGTTCAGCATGAGAAATGTCACCTAATTATCTGAATGCCCTGGTCAAATATCCAACAGCAGGCCTCTGCAGGATCGTGTTACTGAGGTTTCGGGAAACCTGATGGATTGGCCCATTAATTACAATGGTTTTCCTGCACATATGCACACACACACACACACACACACAGGCAGATAAACACACACATACATGCATGCACACACACACGCACGACACACACACACATTCACCGAGACAGCAGGTCTATGAGTTCGGGCTTGGACATGCCGTCCGGCAGGACGCGAGGGATGGCAGCCACACACGTCCTGAACAAGTCGATCTTCGGCTTCCTCTCTCCTCTGACAAACGAGACAACGTCAAGATCAGGTCAACAGCACAACTGCCTGGCTTTCAGTTTGTCATTAGGTATGCAATGTGAAATGCCCCCAAATAATGACATACAGAAAAACAAAAACATTTGTGACAACTGCTAAATCAAGGTACATCAAGAGTAGGGCCTTTAGTTTTACTTTTTCCTGACCACATGATCTAAATGGGAAACCTTTTTCCTGGCCAATCCAGGTTGAAACTTGGAGGATTCCCAGTCTTAGGACTCTGGAGAGCTGGGAACTTTGGGAAAGTTTCTGTAAATTTAAACCCTAACTGAGTAGCACACGTACGTGATCATGTCCTCAGGCTCTTTGTTGAGCATCTGGACGTTGGTCATCATCAAGCATCGGCCCACCTCCTTGTCCAGGTGTCTCAGGCTGTTGTCTATGGCCTTCCTCACCTGGGAGTAGTACAGGGACATACCTACAGCACAGGGGAAGAACACATCATTACGTTTCAGGATCTATTCATATAGGGACATACTTACATGGGAAGGTGCATGGTGAACATCACAAGCTTTTATTCCAGTACAACAATTCTAGTAATTAATTCTGCCATTCAGCCATCCATCCATCCATCCATCCATCCATCCATCCATCCATCCATCCATCCATCCATCCATCATCCATCCATTTATCTATCCACCAACCCACACATCCATCCATCATCCATCCATCCATCCATCCATCCATCCATCCATCCATCCATTTATCTATCCACCAACCCACACATCCATCCATCATCCATCCATCCATCCATCCATCAATTTATCTATCCACCAACCCACACATCCATCCATCATCCATCCATCCATCCATTTATCTATCCACCAACCCACACATCCATCCATCATCCATCCATCCATCCATTTATCTATCCACCAACCCACACATCCATCCATCATCCATCCATCCATTTATCTATCCACCAACCCACACATCCATCCACACATCCACAACATATAAGAAAAGTAGATAGTCCACCTGGTGACCCACCTATGACCTTGGCTTCGTCATCGGTCAGGGTTTTGCTCAGGTAAGTCTTCTTTACCCTGAGTGTGTTGCCCGAGGGCAGCGTGGTTCCTGTGTTGGGCATGGGCGGCTCCTCATCCTTCTGCTGCAGCTTGTCAGCTATCACCAGGAACGCTCTCAGGCCTATATTCATTCTCTGGACAAAAGACACACACTGGAATGCTGTGTTAATTGTCATGATATCATGGCTGATTTGATTGATTGATTACATGTATTGTCCTTTTACAGGAAATTATTTTTACATTTCTTGTTATTCTGAAGCTGTTATGTTGTTCAGTGTGTTCAATGCAGTTCTGCTTTAAAAAAATGGCAGTGCAATTTAGAAAATATAGCTGCAAGCAGAAATGAACAGGGATCTGTTCACAGGGTGACAGAAAGGACCCCAGGTAATGTCCCGCCACTTCTAAAACCAAAGTGGCGCCGCTGGTGATAACACACAGAAAGCTACCAAGCTACCATTCCTGTATAACACATTTTCACAACTCTAGGGACATAAAATCCTTATAGTCCCGTGTAGCTCAGTTGGTAGAGCATGGCGCTTGCAACGCCAGGCTTGTGGGTTCGATTCCCACAGGGACCAGTATGAAAATGTATGCACTCACTAACTGTAAGTCGCTCTGGATAAGAGCGTCTGCTAAATGACTAAAATGTAAAATTAAAATAAATCACTATGAGACATCGTCGGCCCAAGTGAGCCCGATGGCCCACATTTGTGGGTCTGGCTCATGGATTATATAGCCTACAGCCACAAAAACGAATGAAAATGTTAATATGTTCTTTCAAAAAAAAAATTGTTAGTTTTTTGTTTCCTAGGACCTTCATAAACACAACCAAATTATTATTTTTCCAATAGCGTATTAAATATACTGTATGTATTAGACTGTTAGAATGTTGACGTCCAAAAGACGTGTCATTGGCACAAAGGGGGGTCCAACGAGTCAGGCTTTTATAGTGTTCATGTATTGAGTTTATACAGTATACCAATTCTGAGGTTAATTGGACCAATGGTTTATGTTAAGATTTGTGAAATATTTACAGCGTTATTTTCACAATATTTAACATTGTTCATCTATATAATTTAAATCTAACATTAATTTGCATGAGACAAAGTCCACTTGATCAATAGTTATTGCTCTAGTACCCTATGCCACTGGTGCCAATGGCATCTATAGAACCACCAACTGGTCTGGTGCAGCCATCTAAGGTTGCAATGACTTTATGATGTTCACACAAGGACATATACACTGAGTATACCAAACATTAGGGACACCCTCCAAATATTGAGTGGTGCCCCCCCCCCCCCCCCCCACCCCACACATTTTGCCCTCAGAACAGCCTCAATTAGTCAGGGCATGGACTCTACAAGGTTTCAAAAGCATTCCCCCGGGATGCTGGCCCATGTTGACTCCAATATCCCACAGTTGTCAAGTTGGCTGGATGTCCTTTGGGTGGTGGACCATTTTTAGTACACACGGGAAACTGATGAGCGTGAAAAACCCAGTAGCGTTGCAGTTCTTGACCCAAACTGGTGCACCTGGCACCTACTACCATACCCCGTTCAAAGGCACTTAAATATTTTGTTTGCCCAGTCAACCTCTGAATGGCACACATACACAATCCATGTCTCAATAGTCTCAAGGCTTAAAAATCCTTCTTTAACCTGTCTCCTCCCCTTCATCTACACTGATTGATGTGGCTTTAACAAGTGACATTAATAAGGGATCATAGCTTTCACTGGGATTCACCTAGTCAGTCTATGTCATGGAAAGTGCTGGTGTTCTTAATGTTTTGTATACTAAGGTTTACATACCAATTTCCATGGGCCCATGTCCATCGGTTCAGTTCTTATAGCCCTGGTGTGATATGGTGCAATCTAGCGGTGTAGTGTGGCAGACTTTGAATGCAGCAACTAATCATTCTCAAATTCATTAGAGACTAATTAATTGAGTCTATATACTACATCTGGTGTCAATCTGACTGATGGTTCTTGAGAAGAAGATTTATTTAGTATCTATTGGAACAGAGCGGCCATATTTGAATGCAACAACCATTAGACTGATGTAAATACACATTCTGACATATGGTTCATTAGGAGAAGATAATTGCAGATGATTTTGAGCATTAGCGTTATATGCCAAGAATAAGTTGTTAATAGTTTCCTTGTTTTTTTTTATATCAATACGAAATTCAGTGTGGTTCATTTTAGGGACGTCCATGACAGCAATGACAAGTTCCAAGTTGATAGGCTTGGTTTAAATGGACACGTAAAATCAGATTCTTGACTCGTCAATAACTCAGCCATCTTTTGACCAATCCCTTAGCTTTTCTCAAAACTAAGTGAAGAGATGTACCATGGGCCTACATTCCGAATTGGTGTAATTTGGTCTTATGCTTCATGAGAATAAGTATTTTTTTGCATATTTTGGCATATTAGCGTATGTGTTAAAATGCATTTACTGGTATAGTGTGGCCACCTTTGAATGCATCAGCCTTATTTTTGTGATGAGTGCAAAGACCACATCTGGAGTGAATCTGACTTTGTATTATTATTTTAAGCATTAGTGTTGCATAATAAAAAAGTGAATTGTTAATAGTTTCCTTATTTTTTAAGACATTCATCATGGTAATGTCTTTGGTAACCCCACAACGTTTCAAGTTGATAGGTCATTGTGGAGTGCATTTACAAGGATTTAAATGGACACCTAAAATCTGATTTCCTGATTTCTCAATAACTCAACCATCTCTTAACCAATCCCTTAACTTTTCTCAAACTAAGTTAAGAGATGTACCATGGGCCTACATACCAAATGTTATTTGGATCGTATGGTTAATGAGAATACTTTTTTCAAAGGTTTTCCACAAATTTTTTTTTTTTTAAAGTGGTTAACCCACTGGCTATAGGGTGAATGCACCAATTTGTAAGTCGCTCTGGATAAGAGCGTCTGCTAAATGACGTAAATGTAAATGTAAATAATTTCCAAAATTGAGGAAAATCTATCCTGACGGACATTATAGGTCCTTGAGGCAAATTTGTTCAGCATGAGGAAAGACAACTACATACAAAGTTCCAAGTCTCTAGGTCAAACGGGGCGACAGATGTGAGGGTTTAAGTGAGACTTCTTATAAGAGTGCCCCCTATAGGCCAATCTATGCTTGAGCTATTTGACCAAGTCAAGGAACATTTAAATAATAAGAATTCAGACAAAAACATTAGGTTTCACAGCTTTGCTGTGAACCCCAAATGATTACTGCAAAGGCATGTCTGCATGAATATGTCTCTAGTGACATTAAATAAGGTTGTTGAATTTTATATAATGAATATTGAAGAATTATGGAATTCAAAGCCAATTGTGTACTGTACCTCTGGGTTAAGACTAAAGGCTTTGGCTGGTTTTCCAACACACAGAAGGTCAAAGATGATCTCTTTCATGGCAAAGTCCAGTCGTTCCTGTGGTGGAAGAAGAGGGTTTAGAACAGATTTGTAATATTGTTGCTGTTTTCACATCGTCACATTCACATCAGAGAGGAAGGATCCACACCACTCTCTCACTTGAGTATCTTTCCTAGTTATTTTCAGATATAATTTTGCTCTTTTGTAACTATGTGTGTGTTTTCTATACCTGTTCGCTCCTCTCCCTGTAGACGCTCCCCACCCCTTGGCTGCAACCCTTCTAATTTAGTGTACCCTGTGCGCACAACCCATGTGAAATTCCTGGTCTCCGGCAGCGTTTGGAACTGCCTTTCTGCGGCCAAGAACGCAGAGTTTATCTCATCCTATGCTGCACTTCAGTCCCTTTACTTTTTGGCCCTGACGGAGACATGGATCACCCCAGAGAACACTGCAACTCCAGCTGCTCTCTCTTCATCTGACTACGTTCTCTCATAGTCCGAGAGCATCTGGTCGTCGAGGTGGTGGCACAGGGCTACTCATTTCTCCTAAGTGAAGATTTTCTCTTTTCACCATCTCTCACCTGTCCATCTCCTCATTTGAATTCCATGCTGTCACTGTCACTTGCCCAGTCAAGCTTAATATTGTTGTCATCTATCGCCCACCAGGTGCCCTTAGAGAGTTCCTCAATGAACTTGACACCTTGATAAGCTAATTTCCTGTCGATGGCTCACCGCTCTTCGTACTTGGTGACTTCAACCTCCCGACGTCTGCCTTCGATTCATTTCTTTCCAACTCTCTCTTTCCCCTCCTTGCCTCTTTTGACCTCACCATTTCCCAGTCCCATTCTACTCACAAAGCAGGCAATACGCTTGACCTCATCTTTACTAGAGGCTGTACGCCTACTAATCTCACTGCAACCCCCCTCTAGGTCTCTGATCACTAATTTGTTTCCCTTTCTGTCTCCCTTTCCTCGAACCCTAGCCACTCAGCCCCTACCCAGATGCTGATGCGCCGTCGCAAGCTTCGCTCTCTCTCTCCTACTATTCTCTTCATATCATCTCTCCCTTCCACTAAATCCTTCTCCCACCTGTCTCCTCATTCTGCCTCTTCCACCCTACTCTCCTCCCTTTCCTATGACTTACACTGTCCCCTTTCCTCCTGGCTGGCTCGGCCCTCCCCTCCTGCTCCGTGGCTGAGTGACTCCTTGCGAGCTAATAGAACAGGGCTGCAGGCAGCTGAGCGAAAACGGAGGAAAACTAAACTTCCAGAGGACCTATCATCCTTTCACTCCCTCCTCTCTACCTTCTCTTCCTCTGTATCCACTGCTAAAGCCACTTTTCTATCATTCTACATTTCAAGTTTCTGCCTCTAACCCTAAGAATCTCTTTTCCACCTTCTCCTCTCTCCTTAATCCTCCACCCCTCCCCCTCCCTCTCTGCGGATGACACTGTCAACCACTTTGAAAATAAGGTTGACGACATCCGCTCCTCATTCACTCAGCCTATTGAGTCCACTGGTCCCACACAAACAGAACTACCCAACGCCTTGACCTCTTTCTCCTCTCTCTCAAGATGAAATCCTGCGACTAGAGAGGTCCAGCTGCCTGACACTATCCCCTTCTCCCATTCCCCACTTACCTCATCAGCTCATCCCTGACCACTGGCTGAGTACCCTCTGACTTCACAATGGCCCAAGTCGCGCCCCTCCTCAAGAAACCAACACTCGACTCCTCTGACAACAAAAACTACAGACCGGTATGCAGTCTCTGACCAACTCTCTCATTATCGCTCTCAGAACGATCTTCTTGACCCTAACCAGTCAGGCTACAAGATGGGTCACTCAACCGAGACTGCTCATCTCTGTCACAGAGGCTCTCAAAAGCTGAGTTTCTCATCCTCCTACATCTATCCGCTGCCTTCGACACCATGAACCATCAAATCCTCCTCTCCACTTTCTAAGGGCTGGTCCTGCGTCTCAGGCTCTAAACACACTTGGATTGCATCCTACCTGGCAGGCCACTCCTACCAGGTGACGTGGAGAGGATCTGTGTCTGCACCACATACTCTCACTACTGGTGTCCCCCAGGACTCAATTCTAGACCCTCTCCTCTTCTGTCTATACACCAAGTCACTCTGCTCTGTCACATCCTCACATGGTCTCTCCTATCGTTGCTATACGGATGACACTCAACTACTTTTCTCCTTCACCACTTCTGACTTCCAGATGGCGACACGCATCTCTGCATGCCTGGCAGATATCTCAGTTTGGATGTCGGCCCACCACCTCAAGCTCAGCATTGATAAGACAGAGCTGCTCTTCCTCCCGGGGAAGGCTTGCCCGCTCCAAGACCTCTCCATCATGGTTGAGAACTCCACAGTGTCCCCCTCTCAGAGTGCAAAGAACCTTGGTGTGAACCTGGACAACACCCTGTCATTCTGTGCAAGCAGTGACTCGTTAGGAGTACGACCCTACCTCCCACAGGAAGCGGCGCAGGTCCTAATCCAGGCACTTGTCACCTCCTGTCTGGACTACTGCAACTTGCTGTTGGCTGGGCACTCCGCTTGTGCCATCAAACCCCTGCAACTTATCCATAATGCTGCAGACCCCCTGGTGTTCAACCTTCCCGCTCCTCTGCACATACCACTGGCTTCCAGTTGAAGTTCGCATCCACTACAAGACCACGTTACTTGCCTATGGAGCAGCAAGAGGAACTGCCCCTCCCTACTTTCAGGCTATGCTCAAACCCTTGTCATGACTTGCCCTCTTGGGCTGAGGATCAAAGATTCCTGCTAGGCAAAGGTTTGAACACCCCCTTTCCTGGGGGCCAGTTTTATGACCGGTCATAAATTCCTTGCAGAGACTTTCTCTTCCTTGCCATGAAGTATTGGGAGAAAGGACCCCTTTGTTAACAAAGGAAGTCTTCCCGCCAAAACTCCAACATCCAAAAGTGGATAATGAAACAACATTCCTACTTAAAAGTATGTGGGAAATGGTTGGTGGGGACTTAAAGAACAATCATGTCAAATTCGTTACTATGTTGTGATGTCATTAAAGACGGTGGAACAACATAACTGTATCTCTTGGGGGGGGACACTTCCCAGTAATGAGGTTTGCATCTATTTGTTGTATAAAACGAATGATTAAGTATAATAATACTTTTGTGAAGATAACAATGTGATTTTAGCATTCTAGATGAGATGATTGTTTTCAATATTGATTTGTTCTCAGTCAGTGGCCACGCCCAGATGAGCACAAACTTGATGGAACGCCCCTTTCACCCCGAGTGCATAAAAAGCCTTGAAAAACAAACCAACCTTTAGACCAGCAGACGTGAAGCGTGAGCCTAATGTTGCAAATGGTTGACACTCTACAACACCAAGAAGCGTGAAGCTGAAGCTACACATTACAAAATGGTTAGACTAGAAAGACCAGAAAACGTTAGACGTTAGTCCACACGTTTGAAGTTGAGAAACTCTGAAACTCTCAACCTCTACACGAGGTGAAGAAGAAGACAATGCACTAGACCTTATCATTTTTAGTCTGCAGCTGGCATGTATAGTCGTCTAGAGAACTTTCACTAAAGACAGGAAGTGGGAAGTACAATCCCTCTCAGACAACTGCTGGTACATCTGAAGTATCCATTCTAACCACTACTACGACCAGAAACTCTACCAAGGACATTGGAATCTCTGGTGGGCAAACCAACGTCCTACATCATCAACTCAACTATCGAGGACAGCAACACGTAAATACATGTTGTATTTCTAATCCGAATGAGCGTTATTAGGGTGCATAAGTATTATGATTACTGTGAGCATAGTCTCCAAAGTAACTACGATAGTTTGAATCTTTGTCTCTCCCTTCCATACTCAACCCTCCTTCCCCTAACCAAGCAGTCACACTATTGTTAGTACAGTCCACTAGGGACCTGTTTTCATTAGTACGTTAGTAATCAATAACCTATGTGTATGTATGTTTGTATTGTGTTATTATTTAGTTAGTGAGTAAATAAATAATTAAGCCAATTTGTGTATTGCTGATTCATCAATAAGGTTAGGGTTCTTGGAGGTTCAAGGATTATGCGACGTTCAGAATGAGACTGATAAGAGGTAATTATTTAATAAGTGAACCTCCAAGATGGTTCTTCTAAGATGGTAACTCGTTAAACAACTTCTTCCGTGGTGCCCCAAATTCCTAATGAGTTAATTGTTACATGATTAATTAAATCGAGTGACAATTAAACATAGATAGGTGATTCGATAAATAACAGTCATACATTAAAGTAAGTCACGTCACGACACCCTACACCCCAACTCGAGCATTCTGTTCTGCCACCTCTGGTCTCTTGGCCCTCCCACCCCCTGAAGCTAGGACAGCAGAGTCCCTGCCCATCTTCCGAAAACATCTGAAACCCTACCTCTTCAAATAGTATCTTACATAATCCCCCCCCACCCCCTTTACTAGCTCTAACTTTGCTGATAGCTACTTTATTGAGGAAAAATGTACTTACTATGATTGTGATATATGGTTGTCCCACCTATCTATCTTAAGATGAATGCACTAACTGTAAGTCGCTCTGGATAAGAGAGTCTGCTAAATGACAAAAATAAAAAATATATACATGTTTTTTTATTGTGCACGCTTCAGGAACAATTAACATTACTTTAATACAATAGTATTTGTCAATACTGTAGTCAGTGAGCTAATTTGAAAGTTCAACACTGAAAGTTCAACATTGACTCTGGGGATACACTGTAGGTTTTTTCCAGAACATGTCTTGTTTGTATTAAAATGTTGTTGACAGCGGATTGCATGCAACTTCCTGTTTACCTGTGCAATAAACTGGATGATTTTGACGAAGATGTTGAGGGGCATATCTCTGGGCACCACACTGCGAGAGCCCTTGGGGAACAGTGTTGTAATGATGGTGTTGAGACGCCTGCAGGAGAACAGGAGAACAGGAGAGAGAGAGAGAGAGAGAGAGAGAGAGAGAGAGAGAGAGAGAGAGAGAGGAGAAGAGAGAGAGAGAGAGGAGAGAGAGAGAGACGAGAGAGAGAGAGAGAAGAGAGAGAGAGAGAGAAGGAGAGAGAGACAGAGAGAGAGAGACAGAGGAGAGAGAGACCAGAGGAGAGAGAGACAGAGAGGAGAGAGAGAGAGAGAGAGAGAGAGAGACAGAGACAGAGACAGAGACAGAGACAGAGAGAGAGAGAGACAGAGAGAGAGACAGAGAGACAGAGACAGAGAGAGAGAGAGAGAGCGAGACAGAGAGAGAGACAGAGAGAGAGAGAGAGAGACATTAAGGATGGATGCTTCAGGGAATTCAACAAATGAGATACACAGGGATCACATTCCGATAATAAAAATGTACACACAGTTACTCAGAACTGACATAGATAAAAATGTAAAATTAGATTGCTTTACGCTAGCTGGCCTGTATGCCGTTGTCCCATTTCTTAACAAGTGTTTTATTTTAAGCCTGGTTTATTTCTGGGCTAATTACGACGTGTTAAAGGCTTGACCTGTTTGTGATTCCTCCTGTGGCCTGGGCTACGTCCCAAATGGCACCATATTCACCCTATGGGCCCTGGTCAAAAGTAGTGCACTATAAAGGGAATAGGGTGGCATTTGGGACGCTGCCCTGGTAATGCGTATCATCTTAACCTACGAGTCGAGCCCTAATCCACTGCCTGCTACACTAGTGTGTGTGTGTGTATGGCTCTGATAGTAAAGTCCCCCATCCAATGAGAAAGAGCTTCAACTCCCTATAGTGTGATGACCTAGCTACCTCATCTCCCCCACCCACCCACTTCCTCCCCTCTCCCCCACCCACCCACTCTCCTTTTTTCTACTTCCACCATCCTCCATCCCTCCTGGTGTAACAGGCTGCCTGTTTACAGACTGTGCTTGCTACTCTGACAGGTAAAGAGCCAAGTCAGCCAAGTCTCCCAATATCAAGGAAGGGGAGGCGACTGTGTGTGTTAGTGTGTGTGTGTGTGTATGTTTGTGTGTATGTGCATGCATACGTGTGCTCGTGCATGCACGTGTGTGTGTGTGTTTGCATGCCTGCAGGCATAAGTGTGTGTGTGTAAGTGTTTTGGAGAGGAATGCAATATAGAAAAACATGTTTTTGGCTCTCAAGTTCTACCAAGAGAAAGATACTATTCATGAGCAGGCTAGATTATGTACACAGCTTCCTATGGTCGTGCCTTTGCTTCCTGTGGGTGCTGCCAAGCACCTCTTCTCCTTGTCCTTGTCTGTGTCCTAAAATGCACTATTTAGTGCACTACTTTGGCCCTATGAGCCCTGGTCAAAAGTAGAGCACTACTTTGGCCCTATGAGCCCTGGTCAAAAGTAGAGCACTACTTTGGCCCTATGACACCTGGTCAAAAGTAGAGCACTACTTTGGCCCTATGAGCCCTGGTCAAAAGTAGTGCACTACTCTGGCCCTATGAGCCCTGGTCAAAAGTAGTGCACTACGTAGGGATTAAGATGCCATTCGGAACGTAGCCCTTGTGGCTTCAACATGGAGGAGAGGAGTGGCCATGGTAGGCTATATTATGTGGCACGTAGCTGGGCAGTGAATGGTTGAATGAGGACATTTACCCTTGTGTTGTTGCAGTGATGAACATTATCAAGATATGTACACCTGAGTTGCAATGTGTATGTGGCGCTGTATGCAACAAGCTGTATTTTGTGGAAAAAGAAATTGCGTGCCACAAAACACGAACATTGCAATTGCTGTGTGAAATTGTCTGCGTTTACACAGGCAGCCCAATTCAGATTTTTTCCTCACTAATTGGTCTTTTGACCAATCACATAAAAACTTTTCACATCAGATATTTTTCAGAGCTGATCTGAATGATGAAAAGACCAATTAGTGGAACAAATATCAGAATGTGTCTGCCTGTGTAAACACAGCCGTAGAAACATTTACCCTTGCGTAGCAGTGTTGCTCTCACACTTGATCCTGATCATGTAGACCCACAGCAGGCGGTAAAGAGACTCCAGGGCTACGCGCACCATCTTGGGGTCCTTACTCTGCAGACACAGACAGACAGACTGATGTTATTACTGGTTGGTCCTGTGTGGCTCAGTTGGTAGAGCATGGCGCTTGCAACATTAGGATCGTTGGTTCGATTCCCGCTGGTTGCAGTACAGTACCTTGACGTTGGAGAGGCAGTTGTTGAGGAAGACGGCCCATTTGTTGAGGAAGAACTGCTTCTGGCTGACACACAGCAGACAGGTCACCAACGGGTAGAGAGCCTAGGACACACACACACAGTAGACATGTCACTAAGGGATACAGAGCCTGCAAGGTGTTTAGGTCTATGAAACCTTCAGATAGAACATTCCTATGCTTCAGTGAGGTGTGTGTTTCAAGTTTATTCGCCACATGCACAGGATACAACAGGTGTAAAACAGTAAAGTGAAATTCTTACCTTGAGAGCTTTTTCCCAACAATGCACTTATAATAATATAGATAATAATAGAAAATAGAATATAAAATTAAAGTAGGAATAAAACCCACACAAGAAGTACGATGAGAGTTAAAGAAAACGAGAATGCAAGAATATACAGGTCAGTGTCAGTACCTTATTCAATGTGCAGGGGTACTGGAGTGGTTGTATATACAGGTCAGTACCGTATTCAATGTGCAGTGGTACTGGAGTGGTTGTATATACAGGTCAGTGTCAGTACCTTATTCAATGTGCAGGGGTACTGGAGTGGTTGTATATACAGGTCAGTGTCAGTACCTTATTCAATGTGCAGGGGTACTGGAGTGGTTGTATATACAGGTCAGTGTCAGTACCTTATTCAATGTGCAGGGGTACTGGAGTGGTTGTATATACAGGTCAGTGTCAGTACCTTATTCAATGTGCAGGGGTACTGGAGTGGTTGTATATACAGGTCAGTGTCAGTACCTTATTAAATGTGCAGGGGTACTGGAGTGGTTGTATATACAGGTCAGTGTCAGTACCTTATTCAATGTGCAGGGGTACTGGAGTGGTTGTATATACAGGTCAGTGTCAGTACCTTATTCAATGTAGAGGGGTACTGGAGTGGTTGTATATACAGGTCAGTGTCAGTACCTTATTCAATGTGCAGGGGTACTGGAGTGGTTGTATATACAGGTCAGTGTCAGTATCTTATTCAATGTGCAGGGGTACTGGAGTGGTTGAGGTGGGTTTAGACATAAAAAATGACAGGTAGTAGGATATACATGTAAACAGGGCTGAAAAGTGACGGGTAGCAACAACATAAATACTTATGGTAAAATACTAATGGAAATATATACACATGTAAACAGGAGTAAAAGTGACCAATAGCAGAATAAATAGATAGATACTAATGGTAATGGCAATCAATAACCAATGGACAACAGCGTAATGCATCTAATCAATAATAATTTTAGCAGCAGCGTAAGTTGTGTCTGAGTGGGTGGAGACCTGTGGATGGGCATAGAGCCAGTGTGGAGAGTCTGTGGGAGAGGGAGAGCAGTAGTTGTTAGCCATTTAACAGTCCCATGACCAGGGGATAGAAGCTGTTTAAGGAGTCTGTTTGTCTGAGCCTTGATGCTGGATGGGAGCATGGAGAACAGTCTATGGCAATTTTCTCGGGCCTTTCTCAGACACCGCCTGGCATGTATGTCCTGGACGGCTGCAAGCTTGCCCACAGTGACGCGCTGGGCTATCCGCATCACCTTCTGTAAGGCCTTCCGGTCGTGGGCGGTGCAGTTGCATTACAACCAGTCAGGAGGCTCTCAATGGTGCAGCTGTAAAAGGATATGAGGGGCCATGCCAAATCATTTCAGCCTACTGAGGGAGAAGAGGCATTGCTGTGCTGACTGTTCTGGTGTGAGAGGACCGTGTTAAGTCCTCAGTGATGTGGACACCGAGGAACTGTAAATCTTACACACATTTACTGTCCACAATAATCCGATTGAGTGTTTACTCTTTGATTTGAAGAGGTTGCCTGTCCTCCCTTGTGCATCGTTAGTTAGAAGAGCAACAAGGAGAGAGCCACTGTACAAGATTGACCTTGAAATGCTGTCAGGCTTGACAGAAACCACAGCCATGTACACTATGCACCAGTTTTATACTGGCCTGTCACTGTGGCTTTGGGAGAAGAACATCAACAACTCTGGTGTGTGTGTGTGTGTGTGTGTGTGTGTGTGTGGGTGTGTGTGTGTGTGTGTGTGTGTGTGTGTGTGTGTGTGTGTGTGTGTGTGTGTGACTAACCAGAGAGTGTTTTTTCCTGGAGGAGAGGTCCAGTGTTGTGTCATACAGGCTCTCCACAAAGTTCCTTAGACACGGCACGTTCACCTCGTTCTTAACAGCCTGGAAACGGAGAACACATACTCAGCATCACACGCATCACACACACACACACACACTTAAACATAATTAGCAACGTGAATGCCCCACCCACCTGAGGATCTCTCCTTTTCAGCCATCTATTTCCTGTGTTTGAGGGGTGCAAAATCCACTCGTCACTTAAATCTCTCTGGATTTATTTATTTCATTTGACTCTGGTGACTCTTTCCTACTCATGCTTCTGCCATTCGTTTTTTTCCCGTTAACGTATCGACAGTGGAAACGTCTTTAATGACCTGTCAAACTTGCTCTAGTATTGGCTGAAATGGGCTCAATGGACTACATTGGCTTTCTGTTGCATCTATAAGAACGGTAAATCTTGGTCGGGGATTTAACGCACCGTATCGACATGTACATCACAAAAAAGAAATATAACTTTATTTTGGTGGGTGTTGATTTTTTTGTGTAATTGAAAAAAGTTATGATTTAATACAGCTGAAATGTTTACAAATTAGATGCGTTGAAATGAAAGCAACTTCCGAAAAGGAAAACTCGGATTACAGTGATATTATGTCTGATCTTGCAAACAATGTAAAGTACAGTGGGGAAAAAAGTATTTAGTCAGCCACCAATTGTGCATGTTCTCCCACTTAAAAAAAAATAAGAGAGGCCTGTAATTTTCATCATAGGTACACGTCAACTATGACAGACAAATTGAGGAAAAAATATCCAGAAAATCACATTGTAGGATTTTTAATGAATTTATTTGCAAATTATGGTGGAAAATAAGTATTTGGTCACCTACAAACAAGCAAGATTTCTGGCTCTCACAGACCTGTAACTTCTTCTTTAAGAGGCTCCTCTGTCCTCCACTCGTTACCTGTATTAATGGCACCTGTTTGAACTTGTTATCAGTATAAAAGACACCTGTCCACAACCTCAAACAGTCACACTCCAAACTCCACTATGGCCAAGACCAAAGAGCTGTCAAAGGACACCAGAAACAAAATTGTAGACCTGCACCAGGCTGGGAAGACTGAATATGCAATAGGTAAGCAGCTTGGTTTGAAGAAATCAACTGTGGGAGCAATTATTAGGAAATGGAAGACATACAAGACCACTGATAATCTCCCTCGATCTGGGGCTCCACGCAAGATCTCACCCCGTGGGGTCAAAATGATCACAAGAACGGTGAGCAAAAATCCCAGAACCACACGGAGGGACCTAGTGAATGACCTGCAGAGAGCTGGGACCAAAGTAACAAAGCCTACCATCAGTAACACACTACGCCTCCAGGGACTCAAATCCTGCAGTGCCAGACGTGTCCCCCTGCTTAAGCCAGTACATGTCCAGGCCCGTCTGAAGTTTGCTAGAGTGCATTTGGATGATCCAGAAGAGGATTGGGAGAATGTCATATGGTCAGATGAAACCAAAATAGAACTTTTTTGTAAAAACTCAACTCGTCGTGTTTGGAGGACAAAGAATGCTGAGTTGCATCCAAAGAACACCATACCTACTGTGAAGCATGGGGGTGGAAACATCATGCTTTGGGGCTGTTTTTCTGCAAAGGGACCAGGACGACTGATCCGTGTAAAGGAAAGAATGAATGGGGCCATGTATCGTGAGATTTTGAGTGAAAACCTCCTTCCATCAGCAAGGGCATTGAAGATGAAACGTGGCTGGGTCTTTCAGCATGACAATGATCCCAAACACACCGCCCGGGCAACGAAGGAGTGGATTCATAAGAAGCATTTCAAGGTCCTGGAGTGGCCTAGCCAGTCTCCAGATCTCAACCCCATAGAACATCTTTGGAGGGAGTTGAAAGTCCGTGTTGCCCAGCGACAGCCCCAAAACATCACTGCTCTAGAGGAGATCTGCATGGAGGAATGGGCCAAAATACCAGCAACAGTGTGTGAAAACCTTGTGAAGACTTACAGAAAACGTTTGACCTGTGTCATTGCTAACAAAGGGTATATAACAAAGTATTGAGAAACTTTTGTTATTGACCAAATACTTATTTTCCACCATAATTTGCAAATAAATTCATTAAAAATACTACAATGTGATTTTCTGGATTTTTTTTCCTCATTTTGTCTGTCATAGTTGACGTGTACCTATGATGAAAATTACAGGCCTCTCTCATCTTTTTAAGTGGGAGAACATGCACAATTGGTGGCTGACTAAATACTTTTTTTCCCCACTGTAATTTTTCCAACAATTGTTTACAGACAGATTATTTCACTTATAATTCACTGTATCACAATTCCAGTGGGTCAGAAGTTTACATACACTAAGTTGACTGTGCCTTTAAACAGCTTGGACAATTCCAGAAAATGATGTCATGGCTTTAGAAGCTTCTGATAGATTAATTGACATCATTTGAGTCAATTGAGGTGTACCTGTGGATGTATTTCAAGGCCTACCTTCAAACTCAGTGCCTCTTTGCTTGACATCATGGGAAAATCAAAAGAAATCAGCCAAGACCTCAGAAAAAAATGGTAGACCTCCACAAGTCTGGTTCATCCTTGGGAGCAATTTCCAAACGCCTGAAGGTACCACGTTCATCTGTACAAACAATAGTACGCAAGTATAAACACCATGGGACCACGCAGCTGTCATACCGCTCAGGAAGGAGACGCGTTCTGTCTCCTAGAGATGAACGTACTTTGGTGCGAAAAGTGCAAATCAATCCCAGAACAACAGCAAAGGACCTTGTGAAGATGCTGGAGTGAACAGGTACAAAAGTATCTATATCCACAGTAAAACGAGTCCTATATCGACATAACCTGAAAGGCCGCTCAGCAAGGAAGAAGCCACTGCTCCAAAACCGCCATAAAAAAGCCAGATTACGGTTTGCAACTGCACATGGGGACAAAGATCGTACTTTTTGGAGAAATTTCCTCTGGTCTGATGAAACAAAAATATAACTGTTTGGCCATAATGACCATCGTTATGTTTGGAGGAAAACGGGGCAGGCTTTTAAGCTGAAGAACACCATCCCAACCGCGAAGCACGGGGGTGGCAGCATCATGCTGTGGGGGTGCTTTGCTGCAGGAGGCACTGGTGCACTTCACAAAATAGATAGCATCATGAGGAAGGAAAATTATGTGGATATATTGAAGCAACATCTCAAGACATCAGTCAGGAAGTTAAAGCTTGGTCGCAAATGGGTCTTCCAAATGGACAATGACCCCAAGCATACTTCCAAAGTTGTGGCAAAATGGCTTAAGGACAACAAAGTCAAGGTATTGGAGTGGCCATCACAAAGCCCTGACCTCAATCCTATAGAACATTTGTGGGCAGAACTGAAAAAGCATGTGCGAGCAAGGAAGCCTACAAACCTGACTCAGTTACACCAGCTCTGTCAGGAGGAATGGGCCAAAATTCACCCAACTTATTGTGTGAAGCTTGTGGAAGGCTACCCGAAATGTTTGACCCAAGTTAAACAATTTAAAGGCAATGCTACCAAATAGTAATTGAGTGTATGTAAACTTCTGACCCACTGGGAATATGATTAAATAAATAAAAGCTGAAATAAATCATTCTCTCTACTATTATTCTGACATTTCACATTCTTAAAATAAAGTGGTGATCCTAACTGACCTAAGACAGGGAATTTTTACTAGGATTAAAAGTCAGGAATTGTGAAAAACTGAGTTTAAATGTATTTGGCTAAGGTGTATGTAAACCTCTGACTTCAACTGTACATAGCATCAGCATTCCAGGGTTTATATACATATTTGGTTACAACCAACTGGTCTCTTTAACAACAAGGTATCGTTTTCATGACAACATCAAGATGTCAAGGAAAAGACGTCATATTCTGGTTGTCATCTGGTCAGATAACCAACTTACTGCCGCTACAGGAACTAGGATCTCCACGAAGAGGCCGGCCAAGGCATGCTTAATGTCCTTGTCCTTCACTTCCAGGAAGTACTGGGCACAGTCCTGTAACGGAGAGCAGCCCTTTCATCATAAGGATTACATATTGTAAACCATACATTCAGGCCACTGAGGTCAGGTCACATGGTGGTCAACACTAAGTCCCGATACTACACTCTTCTCACAAAGTGTACACATGCACACTTTCTCACATGGATTTTATAATGATGGAAACTCACTCCTGCCAATGCTTACACCAATCATATGCTTTTAAATGCATGATGGGAATTTCTGGAAAAGGTGGTGAATTGGGACTCAGCCAAACTAGAGGCATAGGATGAGAAAAGTACACAGAATGCAAAAGTGGGGAATTCAAGCTAAAGATAAGAGGAATCAAGTGATTCTAGACTGATTTTAATGCTGTTAAAGATGACCATTCTCACTCGTGGGTTCAGATCCCACTTCTGACACTTATTACATTGTTAGCTACATGGATAAGGCAGAGACATGAGTCAAGTTCATTTGTTTACTAAGAAGATTATATGGCCTCAATACAGGTCATGCATCCGGGTCCTTCGAAATTGACCAATATAGAAATAAACATTTCAGGACCATTTCAACATGAAAAGGTGAGTGGTCAGAAAATACTGATTCCTATCCCATATAGCATTCACTGTTCCTTTTCAGCCATGCAGGATTACACACTTGTTTGAGACAGTGCATACAGGTGGGCCTATAATCATCACGTCTGTACTGTAGAGCTCACTGCTCACTTCTGTACCTGCATGAACTGAAAGGAGGCTTCAAAGTCCTCCACTGGATACATCTTGATGCGGAAGAACTTGACACCCATGATAAGGCTGATGGTGCTCTGGACCACGTAGGGACTCTGCTCCTTCTGTCTCAGCTCCTTCAGCTCAGACAGAAACATTTTCTTCACAGCAGGAAACCTGAGAAGGAGAGGAGGAGACAGAGGGTTGGAAATACGGTACACTACTTTTGACCAGGGTTCTGGTCAAAAGTAATGCACTTTGTAGGGAATAGGGTGCCATTTGGGACAACACCAGACATAGACAAAGCCTTTTTTGAAGACTTTAGAAATGCATCAGTCCTTCCTTGTTTCATTGAGGTAAAAACAGATCTATATGGGGGGGGGGGGACTTCCAACCCTAGTTAAGCGCGTGAATGGAACATAATTCCCTTTTTATCCACTGTTCTCTCTATGCGTATTCTGACCTTGAATTTAAGCATGAGAATAGCATGATATTCACCCGCTATTTGTTTGGGGTGGAGATCAAAGAAATGAAGGTGTGGCGGGGGTGTGTCTACAGATACACCGTATTCTGACCTTGACTTAATTCCCTCATTATTCCACCACCTTTACGCACAATGAAACGATGAAGGTCGAGCAACCTGTCCATTCCAAGTGGAACAACATCTACTTTATTTTTTCTATAGAAATAACACCACTCTATAGACTATCGTTTACAAATTGATAACAGCTATTGATAAGTGGTTAATGAGTAAACTGTTTGGATTGTAAATATAAATGACAATTGTTTTAGATTTTTACAGTATGATCGCTGGAGACAAATGTGAAACCAGTCATATGGCAGCAAACTGAAGCATATCAACATGTCACCTTTAGGAAATGCTGGCCTTATAACTTGCAGGGATGAAATTTGAAGGAGACCATGCGCAAATGACAGTATAGCGCCAAACCTACAGTACCGAGTTGATTTATGATTTCTAGAATGTTTTAATTAAATGCCCAGACTTTTCACAGTATTTTTTAAAAACAATTTGTATCTTGTTAAATATTAGGGGTAGCCACCATCAGTTATACCCACATATATTTAGAACTGTGTTAGTTTCCTTACATTTTGCATCATTCCATTATATTATTAGTATATATTTTATTTCTGTCACATTTGTGTGGTTGTTCCTGAGGATCGCTAGCAATAGTGGATCATATTAGGCTAACGTTTTACAAGTTGTGCAATAATTTGGGACATGTAGCCTATTTGAATCATTATGGAATGCAGACCATACTTAGCAATTTAAACCTGGAGCTTGGCGCACGGTTCCCAATGACTGGACCATTGTCGTCACAGTTCCATTAGTGAGGATTATTAAGGTACATTTATAGGACTTCTCTTCAACCCCTATTGCACAGTTTTCTCACTTTCCAATATTTCATGGATGAACAATTGAATATGGCAATTTTCAGGATGAATCAAACCACTATTTTTGATTCACCAATATATTTTGCTCTCCAACCCAGTTTTTTTGTTTTTATGAATACTTTCCTAACCCTAAATAATATACAAGATCAGAGTATTTTAAAATCTACCAACTGGTGCTGAAAAGAAGACAGATATGCGTGTATTTATTTATTTGCTTTCTTTCATTGATCCCTAATATTCTGAACCGTTCTCTCCATATATTCTAGTGAGTCAGTGGAGAAAAGTATAATTAAAAAAGGTACATCAAATTTAAAGGGATGGCTTTAGATAAATGTACAGAAAACCCTATTGAATAAAACATCTGTTGGCCAGCAAGTGGGAGGGTTTTCAGCAGTTGAATAATACACAAGGGAGCCTGCAAAGCACGTTACACACCTGCATAAGGCAAGTCTGAATACCAACTACTGAGAAGTGCTTAGGAAAGGCGTGCATAGGAAAGGTGTTTTTGCTAAGTCTGAATCGGGCCCTACAGTAAGTGATTGAAAAGTTGAAAGAAAGGTTAAAGCCCTATTACTTTTACCAATCCAGATTTCTGATTACTTCAAGGAAGTAAGGAAGGAAATATGCATTTTTTTAAAGTATTCGAACAGAGACAGAGAAGGTTACACGGGTAGGATTACATTATGATAATTATGGTTGCTATTTTTACATTTTACTTATTTAGCAGACACTCTTATCCAGAGAGACAGATTTGTCACCTAGTCGGCTCGGGGATTCGAACCAACAACCTTTTGGTTACTGGCCCAGCGCTCTTAACTGCTAGGCCCTAGGCTACCTGCCACCTATAAAATCATCTAATATCCTCGCATCACCTAACATGCAAGCTTGCAAAGCTGGTTGGGTTATACCAGGGGTGCACAACTCAGGCCCTCTACTTCCCCCATCCCACTGGTTTCTGGTTCTCACCTGGTACTTAATTGATCAATGAATGCTACAGATTGGCTGGAGATGCACACACCTGGTGTCCCAGTTTTATTACAGGGCTGTGTTCATTAGGGCACGCAACAGACAAATGTTTTGAAACATTTTGCAATGGAAAACAGAAATTAGGGTTCCTTATTGGAGGAGGTAGTCCCTCCCTGATTCTGTTTCCTTCCGTTTGGTCGTTAATGAACACGACCTAGCAGCTCCACGGTGGCACGTCACATCTGACAAGCTTAGCCAGGTACTTAGAGTAGGAGTGCTGATCTAGGATCAGGATCCCCGGGCCATTCATTATATTCTCAGAGTAGGAGTGCTGATCTAGGATCAGGATCCCCGGGCCATTCATTATATTCTCAGAGTAGGAGTGCTGATCTAGGATCAGGATCCCCGGGCCATTCATTATATTCTCAGAGTAGGAGTGCTGATCTAGGATCAGGATCCCCAGGCCATTCATTATATTCTCAGAGTAGGACTGCTGATCTAGGACCAGGATCCCCGGGCCATTCATTATATTCTAAAAGGCACTCCTACTCTTCGGGCCTAAGATGGTAGTACTACCCAACCATAGCTCTATTTTAAGGGCTTTGTTCCTTCGTAACGATGATCTGGAACGTTCCAATAAACACAGTGATTTTCAGTCCTAGTATGGAGGGCAAAGGACTTGTCCAAAACATGTCTTGTGATTTACTCAGGTCTAGCTCTCTATTTGAACCAGGGAGATTCTTATGCAGATGTGTACAGAAGAGAAGCAGGAGAGAGCCTTGTGACAACTCAACCAGACCACAAAAGCTAAACAGTCATTAGTGATCTCCAATGGCAACATTAAACATGTGGCACCCTATTCCCTACATAGTGCACTACTATGGGCCCTGGTCAAAAACAGTGCACTATATTGGGAATAGGGTGCCATTTGGGACAAAGCCGAACAGCATTTGAACAGCATACATTACTGTCCTGTATCCTCAAGTGTAGGTTAATTAAAATATGTTCAACTACTGCCCAAAGAATGACAGCCTACTATCGAGGAGCCTTTATTTGTGTTGTTCAGTCACTACCTATACAGTAGCCTATGAATGAATAAGTGAATGAATGAATGAATGAATGAATGAATGAATGAATGAATGAATGAATGAATGAATGAATGAATGAATGAATGAATGAACGAACAAACAAACGAATGAATTACATACAGTATGGATTATTGTTTACAGATGACTTGATGAACTTACTTGGCCTGGGCTAAAACTCCAATGACTTCTGCATAGAGGTCTGCTACAATGTGCATGTTACCAGTGTTAGGACCATGGTACCTGGCAAACAAACACACAGGAGTAAGAATAGGAAACAAGGAAAGAAAGAAACACTACTGTATACTCAGAAAGTCATGAAAGCAGAGCTAAACGTACCCTTCTTTGTGTCTAAAGTGCTTAAAGGCCAAGTTAATGACTTCACTGACCAAACTGTCCAGGACAGGGTGGAGTGGCATCTGGTCATAGAGTGAGAGAGTGAGAGGGTGAGAGGGTGAAAGACACACTTTTACAAACAGAAAACTCCAGTCATGAGTCTGAGATTGAGCAAAAGGAATAAATCAGCCTTTTAAGGGTTACGTCCCAAATTGCACCATATTCCCAAAAAGCCCATGGGGCTCTGGTGAAAAGTAGTGCATTATATAGGGGATAGGGTGCTATTTGGGATGCATCCAAGAAGCGGTTGTTCTGTCAGGTATCCCTTAGGGGAGCCATATCTAATGACGATGTGAATGCTAACATTGGTCAAAGTGGCACTTGTGTTTAGTATACAACACAAACTTGCACTTTAAGAAATTAAGGTTTTTGTTCTTGCCAGAACATTGAGGGAAACTAATATGCTAGCTGGGTTTAGTGTTTTAGAGTGGAGTATAGAAATGAGTCACCTGTTTTAAAACTTCTATAAGTACGAGAGAGAAGATGAAGTCGATGGCCAGATCCCTCCTTTCAAGTAGATAATCTCTCTGCTGTTCGTCACTGTGAAACATCAACAGGGTTGGACAAGTTAGAGCAGTTATCAAACTAGAGCACCAAGCTTGCTGTTACCAATTATGTCACAGATTACGCACATGTAAATAGGAAAAGAAAGGTCAAAAATGATATTGATTTATCATAACCAATTGGCATTTCTAATTGAATTTCGGCAGCTATATGCTTCCATAACCATCTGTTATGCATTAAGTTCAATGATAATGTCAATCAATTCAATGATAATTCAGTTCAATGATAATGTCAATCAATTCAGGCACAATGTCTTAGACTTTACTGTGCAGTGTTTTCTTTGTGTTTGATTTCTGGTCATGAAATGTGACAGGGTGTTCATGGAAATCTGAGTCCTCCTGGCTGTTCTGTCTCCTGTACCAGTCAAAAGGTGTATGTGTGTGCATACGTCTTACTTTCTTGACTTGATGTTGGCTCTGGGTCTGTATTCGTGTGACTCTGGGTCCTCTAGACCATTCTGTCTCCTGTACCAGTCAAACAGTGTCCTCAGGATGGACGGGAGGCAGTACTCCGCCAGAGAACTCATAGCAGTGATTACCTGAAACAACAAGCAAATAAATGCAAATGGTGTGTACATATTGGTCAGTTAATTTATAGCTGAATCAAAAGAAGATGCACTACAGACATCACTGTGTCTTAACCCTCAATGTCCTCCACAAGACAGAAACTGCAGGCAGTGAGAGGGGATTAGAGGAGGGGAGCAGATAAAAGAGAGAGAGGGACAAGGGAAAAAGGAGAGAGGAGAGGAATCTGGAGAGGAGAGAGAATGGAAAAGCACACAGGAAGGGAGGGGAGTCTGGCCGGCTCGGGCCAGGCTACTAGCACACAGGAAGGGAGGGGAGTCTGGCCGGCTCAGGCCAGGCTACTAGCACACAGAAAGGGAGGGGAGTCTGGCCGGCTCGGGCCAGGCTACTAGCACACAGGAAGGGAGGGGAGTCTGGCCGGCTCGGGCCAGGCTACTAGCACACAGGAAGGGAGGGGAGTCTGGCCGGCTCGGGCCAGGCTACTAGCACACAGACAGGGAGGGGAGTCTGGCCGGCTCAGGCCAGGCTACTAGCACACAGGAAGGGAGGGTAGTCTGGCTGGCTCAGGCCAGGCTACTAGCACACAGAAAGGGAGGGGAGTCTGGCTGGCTCGGGCCAGGCTACTAGCACACAGGAAGGGAGGGGTCTGGCCGGCTTAGGCCAGGCTACTAGCACACAGGAAGGGAGGGGTCTGGCCGGCTCAGGCCAGGCTACTAGCACACAGGAAGGGAGGGTAGTCTGGCCGGCTCAGGCCAGGCTACTAGCACACAGGAAGGGAGAGGTCTGGCCGGCTCGGGCCAGGCTACTAGCACACAGGAAGGGAGGGGTCTGGCCGGCTCGGACCAGGCTATTAGCACACAGGAAGGGAGGGGAGTCTGGCCGGCTCGGGCCAGGCTACTAGCACACAGGAAGGGAGGGGAGTCTGGCCGGCTCGGGCCAGGCTACTAGCACACAGGAAGGGAGGGGAGTCTGGTGAGACCAGGGGAACACAGCGGGCCTTTATTCAGCACGGACAGGAGAAGAATCCTGCCTCTGTACACTGTTGAATGGCCTCTGGAATGAGTTACCATCAAACGCACACACACCCAGACCTTCTACTATACAGGCACCTAGAGCAGACCCAGCCAACAAGCACTAACGTTGATGGACTGCTCAATACAACGAGCTTGTGTATCACTTGTTGAGTAATGTTGTCTGAGACCTGAAAACCTGCTTTGGCTCCCCTAGCAAAAATGTATTAGCTTGAGCTCAGCGGGGAAACATAGTATTGACAAACCCAACCCTGCCTTACTGATTCCTCTGTCTATTAGAGAGTAACAGTCCTGTGTAGCTCAGTTGGTAGAGCATGGCGCTTGCAATGCCAGGGTTGTGGGTTCGCTTCCCACGGGGGGCCAGTATAAAAAAATATATATATGTATTCACTAAATGTAAGTCGCTCTGGATAAGAGCGTCTGCTAAATGACTAAAAATGTAAATGTAAAAAATGTT